GTTTGCCATGTTCCCCCAGGGCCACGAGACGCCCTTATTATTTCCCAAGTGGACTGATAAGAGGCCACATCCTATGTCAGCTACAGGAGAAATAGAATAGAATAACAAGTGGATAACGGGAAATAGTCAATAATGTAATCAAACATGTCTGTGAAATGAAACCTTCATAAAACAATATTTCACATAACATCATGCATTTGTAAACCGGGCTTTGATTTTAGACTTTCTGTTTTAGCCAAACCAGCAAAAAGTGTGAGGTTTTTGTTTTGTTTTTGGACATTCTCATATTTGGAATCATAAGGGTTCTGTGCCCAACTCCACCACGGGAGTGGGAGGGGGTCTTCCACTCACCAACAATTCTCAGACACCAGCTAGGTGTGCTACAATGTAACTCAAATCTGACACTATCTATGTGGACATAGATACCTGGAGATAGCAGGGGCTCAGTCCCACAAAACTGTCCCCCCAACCTCTGCCCCACCACACACATACTACACACTTCAGACAAGAGTCACAAATCCGGGTTGTCACCTGTGCCTCCGACCGAACTATTCTAGGAATTATAGCCATTACTGTTATGGCTACCACTGTAGGAATGGCCTTGCATCAGACCGTAAAAACCACACAATTTGTGCAAAAATGACACGAGAATGCTAACAAGGCTTGGAATCAACAAACAGTCCTAGATCAAAGATTTCATGAAAGAGTCTCTGATTTAGAAGAAGCCATAATATATATAGGAGAGAAGATCTTCCAAATATAAGGCCTCACCTTCTGTGTGATTAGAATGTTTCTTCCTTCTGTGTTACTCCTACACCTATAATGAGTAAGAAATACCGTGGAACAAGATTTCACCATATTACTAGTCATTATGGCGGTAATTTAACTGTGGATATTAAACAGCTTCAAGATTTTATTCAGGGCATTCCTTGCTATCCTCACAATCAGTTCCAAGAGTGAGTTTCACACAAAGGATTAATGATATTCTGTCTGATGTAAACCCCTTTGCTTGGATCAAAACACTGGTCTTGGCATTCTAGATGGAATGATGACACTTTTTACTGCTATAATCATTTTACGCTTAGTCCTCAGATGCTTACAGAAATCTTTCTGACTAATGGTTTGAGAACTTGCAAAACGGATTTTGCTGCTTCTGCATTAACAAAAAGGGGGAAATGGAACCATCCCTCAGAATGATAGGCTGCTTAAAATATCACTAATGAGAAATTGTACTGGTCACACAAGCATACTTGAAGATGACCTTGAGAAAACCCGTACTAGTAGCAGGCCTCTGGTGGAGAGGAGGATACAGGTCCTTGAAGTCCAGCAGCTGGGGCTGCCCTGGGCGCTCAGGGTAGAACATCACCTGTTTCCCTTTTCTGTTGTCTCCCCTGCCTCATGAAAGCCTACTGTTAGAATAATCCCTTTATGTGCCCTTGCTCAACCAAAAATTCCATGCTGCTGGGCCAGGCACAACCTACTCTGTTTACCTACAAGACTATGGTCGATGTAGGACTCCCATTCCTTCTGGTTGACCTACCAGATCCATGACTAATGTATAACCTCCTCCTTTGTTGGTTGTGATCTTGTATCTAATAAATATGGGACTGAGGAGTTTTTTGGGGTAACAGTCCTTTCAGCTGTCGTCCCTGCTCCCTCCCTCTCCCAGGTGACTTGTTTTTTCCTCATTCTTCTCCTGAGTGCCATCAGGAAGCAGCCCCCAAATGCCTGGCAGAGGGAAGAGATGCACAGAGGGAGGCCTGGTGCTTGTGTGAAGTGGGATGTCACTCAGCACTCAGGGAGCTGTCACACCCTCAAGGCAAAGCTGTCCTCCTTTGCCCTGAGCCACAATCTTTGATGCCAGACCCATACTCTAGGCCAGGAGTGTCTTTACATTGCCCTAGGGCTGTGAAGCAAAAAGATTCCGTGGGGTCCCCAGTGGGAGAGAAGCAGCACTTCCAATGGGCAAGGGTGAGTCTCCCCCACTTTGGCCTCCCCAGGCCAGTGTTCTCCCAGGCCCATCCCTGAAACAGAAAACCTACTCTCACTCTTCAAGGGTCCGTCCTTCTAGCCCTACCTGCTCTGCTGGGCCATGGGAACCTGGAAATGATGGCGTCTGGCTTCCCATGCCAGCACCCACTCGATTCCCAACTTTTGCACACTTGACCCACAGAAGAGACTCAGGAGAGCTATGCAGAGAAACTAGAACAGGCTTTAATTAATGAAATGAACACTACCTAAAGGTTCTACGAAGAACATGGGGAGAGGGGAGGGGAAACCTGTGGGCAGTGGCAGGAGTCCCAGGAGCTGTGGGACTGGAGGCCAAAGGGACACGGATCTCCGTGTACTGTCCCAAGGCCCATGGCCCCTGGGATCACAGACGAGGCCTCAAGCCCCCACCTTCCTTCAAAATGGTGGGTCAGGGATTGGAAGTTTCCCCAATGTTGGCTGGCAGGCTGGGAGCCCAGTTTTACTCCAGGACTGGGCTTGATTTGTGTCTCCCATTACACACTAGTCTTGCAGCGGTGTCACCTGGAAGCAAGTGCAACACCAGCTACTTCTCCAGGAAGCTATTGGCTCAGCCGAGCCTCCACCTCTTGGGCCCCAAGGAAGTGGGCTGTGATGTGGAGGAAAATGGCTTGTTGCACGGTGCAGCTCTTTTGCGTCCAATCAGGCGCTGGGCAGGGGATGAGGGGGTCTTGGTGGCAAGGCTGCTCTGGGCCTTGCTGACCAGGGAGGTGGAGCCACGAGGAGGAGAGGCCAGGACGCCCCCGCCCCTGAAGGCGGCCTTGCTGGCAGTGCTGCAGCCATCTGAGCTGGACCTCTGCTTGGTCAGGTGCCTGGGGATGTGACTGAAGGGAGGGGCACTCGGGGCTCCTGACACAGGGTGGTTTGTCGTGCTGGCTCCAGCGGTCCCCGACAGGGTGCTCTGGCATGGGTGGCCCCCCATGTTCGGGCACAGGCTTGCCCTGGAGCCCTGCAGGCCACTTGGGGCCCTGCTCATTCCTGCTGTGATGCTGAGAGCCCCAAAGCTGGAGCACAGATTTGCAACATCGTCTCCTCTCCCCAAACCTGGGGGTGCTGCTGAAAACCCCATGCTGATGGGGGCCAGCATTGTGCTGCCACCTGGGGGACGGGGCTTCTGGCTGTTGGGCCCAGCATGGGACACAGTGCCGGGCACCAGGGGGGCAGCTGCCAAGCCAGGGGTAGCGGCCGCTCCAGGAGCGAGTACAGCAGAGGAGGTAGCTGAACTTGGCTGGGCACTGGCACGGGTGCCCCGGGAGGCAGATGCGGGTAAGGGAACCACATAACCTGCCTGGGTGCTGCTGCCCAAGGACAGCTGGGCTAGAGCTGTGCTCAGGGCCTGGAGTGGGTCTGGAGCCTGAGCTGCCGGTTGTCCATGCTGGGGAGAGCTGTGAAGGGCTCTGGCCTGGGTGCCGCTGCCCAAGGACTGCTGGACCAGAGCTTTGCTCAGGGCCTGGAGTGGGTCTGGAGCCTGAGCTGCCGGCTGTCCATGCTGGGGAGAGCTGTGAAGGGTGCTGGCTCTGGGCCACTGCCCACCAACAGCCCTGAGTGGGGCCTGGGCAGTGGATCCCAGGTTGCCACTACCTCCAGGCAGCACAGGCAGCCCTGGGGGGACTGTGACTGAGGCCATGCTGCCCCTGGGCGGCATCAAGAGGGCCTGGGTAGATGCAAAGTTGCTCCCACTGCAGCCAGGGTGAGACCCCAAGAGGAGAGGCTGGGAAGAAGGGAAGCAGTCCATGGAGGTGACCTGAGTGTCAGAGGCTGGCAGGGGAAGAGCCACTGCAGCAGACAGGGCCAAGGCACTGGATGGCCGAGTTGGGCCACAGCTGCAGGTGGCCTCTGTGTCCTCTCGAAGAGCATCTTGGGTGCGCTGGAGAGCAGCTCTCTTTTCCCGGTCCAGGTCCTCAGCAGTCACTTGAAACCCCAGCTCAGGGGGTGATGGCAGCCTCAGAGGCTCCCCTCGCCTGCGTGGCAGCAGAGGAAACTTGCGTTTTCGGGGCCTGGAACAGTCAGCTGGGGATGAGCAGTTCCTCTGCATTGCCGTCTGCCCGGTGGTGGTATCAGCATCCTTTTCCAGCTGGTTCTTCTTCTGGCAAAGTGCAGGCTCTCCGGCAGGACACAAGGGGCTCTCCTGGCTGACTTTTTTGGGGGACCTCGGGGGCCACGAGGCCTGACTTGTGGCCAGACCCCTCCTCCTCTGCACCGGGTGGCAGACCCTGGTGGAACTGTAGGAACTCGTTATGGCATTTTGAGTGGGGCAGGAGCTCCTATGGGAGCTGGGGGACTTCTTACTGCATGGGTCTTCTGAGCTCTCTTCCCGGGGGGCCGGCTCTCAGCAGAGGCCCAGGCCTGGGCACAAAGGAAGAGAGGCCTCCATGGACCCCCAGGGGCCTAAGTGCCCCCTGTGGGGCCCCAGTGCCTTTAAGGTCCTTTGTCTGAGTCTCTAGCTGGGCCATCCCTTTGCCGCTCTCTCTGGGGTCTCTGCACACCCGCTCTGCTGTGGAGACATCGTGGACATTCCTGGGTGCTGAGGGTGGCAGCCCGGTGACGTCCCGCTTCTGCAGCACACAGGGGGTGACCGTGTCCATGATGGACTCGCAGCGGTGGCGGCAGGACACCTGTGATCCGGCAGCCGACAGCATCGCCTTCAGCCGGCAGGACCACCTGCAGGAGATGGTGAGGAGCCCCAGAAGAAAGCGCGGGGTCGCCAGGATCCCGGAATACCTTCTGCAAGCTGCTAAGACTGAGCGTGGTTGCCAGCTCATGGGGTACTTGGAGGACTGCCTGCGAGTGGACCCCGGGGCGTGGACTGCCGGGCGAGCTCTGGGCGCCAAGAGTAGTCCGCGGCCACAGTGAGCCGGGTGGGGGCGGACAAGCCCTCCTGGCAGGTGCGGACCCCTCAGAGACTGGGGCTGGGGGGAGGGGCAAGGCCTGCTCAAGGAGGTGCCCATAGAGCAGTCGGGTAAGGCCAGATGCTAAGGACAACGAACTAGGCTCGCAGCACTCTCCTTCAGCTGCCAAGTCAGGGCAGAAGGCCTAGAGCACAATGCGGGGCCTGTTGCCAGGACACAGCTTTGGAACCTGGAACCTGAGGAATGAACGCGCGTGCAGGAACCCCTGTGCACGCGCACAGCTTCTGTTGGGCCGCCGCCCAATGCATGAATCAGGCCTGCAGAGGTGCTGTGGAGGTCCTCCTTCCCCACCCTCGGGGGTTCACAGATCTCTCGGGCTTGAAGGCTGAACTGAGGGAGAGGAACGGGGGTGCAGTGGGTGCCAGCCATCTCCCCTGGCTGGGCCCAAGCACTAAGGGACAAGAGTTGGTCCCATAGCCACTCCCCTGCGGACTCATCAGGCAGGCATTTCAGGGCTACACGCATCCTCTCTTCCCTCGGCAAGTGCCCGCAGTGCCTTCTTCTCTGGGTGTCAGGCCCTTGGTTCTGGGTGACATCCTGGACAGTGGGCTCACAGTGTTGTGCGACTCTGGCATCTAGGAGATGCTCTGAAGACCTTTAGGGTTCTTTCCCCATTTTGATTAATCCAGCAACAGAGTGAAGGTGCAAGTGGGCATTCTGTCTTGCCTTTTGTCCACCATTCTTGTTCCAGTGCCCTTGGCCTGCCCTTGCCATGCTCTTCGTGTACACTTGGCACACCCACGTCTGGGTTTACACCTACAGCTGAGTCTCTCCTCTACTCTCCCTGAAGATCCCACGGACAGGATTCCATTCACAGAATTTTCCTTACTTTGTGACAGCACCCGGTGTGGAGTCTCCTTGGACAGTCCCCACAAGCACCCACTGAAACCCAAAGGGCAGTCGTTTCTGTAACACCCTCTCACGGAGACCCCAGCGGTCCCCTGGCGCGTGTGGGTCCACACAGCAACGGGTGGTAAGCCCCCCGGTCAGCTACAGCTGCGATCCTGGTGGTCTCTGGGCTTTTCTCTCTTGCTGCTGCTGCCACTCAGAACCAAATTCTCACCACTGACTGCGGCAACTGCCGTGCCAAGTTCTTCATGTCTGTTCATCCCTATTCAGTCCTCAGAGGCACTTTAAGAAGGAGGGAGTCTTCTCTTCCCTGTTCCGTAGTTGGGGACGCTGAGACACGCAGATGGTTTACCGCCTGTCCCAGGTCACCCAGCTGGTAGGCCGGTGCCAGCCTGAGCCCACGCTGAGAGCTGGGTCCTAGAGGCTTGCAGGCCTGGCTAGAACCCAGGCCCTGACCTTCCCTCATCCATATAGGTCTTAGAGCTTGCTGGACAAGGGTGAGAAGGGGGAGAAGGTGCTGAGCAGTCTCCACACTGGGACTAGGGCCTGAGCAGGGCCCGTTCCCTGTAACCTGGCCCTGACCCTGACAGCTATATTTGCAGTGTGGCCCATAGGCCGGGTGGACCCCTGTCCCCCACAGGGCCTCTTTTTGCCACTCTCCCAGGAAGTACGGTTTGGGCTTTAAGGATGCTGGCCTGAGCATGCAAGAAAGGTGGCCTGGGGGCTGAGAGATGATGCTGACTGCCCTGGACACAGTGGCAGGTAGATGGGAAAGATGTGGCAGCAAGCAGACAGAGAAGCAGAGAAGGGACAGCACTGCAGGAGGTGGTGGGAGGGGAGAGGAACAGAGGGGACTGACAACACACACACACACACACACACACACACACACACACACACACACAAACAGAGACACAGGGCAAGTAGGAAAGAGGGGAGGAGCAGCGACCCTGGGATACAGTGAGGCCATCTAGATCCTGCCCTTCCTCCTGCCTGCACGTCAGGTCCCCAGTGGGCAGGTCATCCCCGCATGTCCCAGTCTCTTCCTCATCTGCATAGCAGTTTGGTGGGACCCTGTTCCTGATTGCACAAGCGGGTTGCATCTATGGTCCCCTGTGTCCAGGCCTGGCCTAGTACCAGAGCTTTCATCCGCTCACCAGGGGCACACAGAGAAACTTTAAGCAATGACCACTCCCGAGGCCACAGACACGTTGCTGGGGGCTCAGGAGGCTGAAAACTTGGCCTAAGAAGAGAATTTCTTTCCCTGGTGCTTTGCTGCTGAAAACGATTCCCCCCAGGCCAGGAGCCAGGTGTTTTCTTGGATAGTCTGTGGCCATGGAGCAGCAGGACGACTCCCCACCCTGTATGGGAAGCCTGGGAGGTGGGTTTCTGAAATCCTGAACTGTAATCCCATCGGTAATAGTCCAACAGTTTGCTTTGGATCCAAAGGATCCAAAGATCCTCTGTATTTGAACATGCTTTCCAATTGTTCAGTAATGGGAGTCCCAACCTAACATGGCTCACATATTTTTATATGTGGGTATAGATTTTTATCTGTCTGTAGAGAAAAATGACAAAATTCTTTGTTTTTAGGGGTTATTTCTCATACCTGAATTCATCTCTACACCCAGGGTGGGACTCAAACTCACAACCCTGAGACCAAGCATCACACACTCCACCGAATGAGCCATCCGGGCAGCTCGTCATTTTAGAGGTTATTTCTAAAATTCTGCCTTAAAATTTTTTAAAGATTTTATTTACTTATTTGTCAGAGAGAGATGGAGAGCACAAGCAGTGGGCAGGGACCGAGGCAGAGGGAGAAGCAGACTCCCCTTTGAGCAGCGAGCCCAATGCAGGACTCCATTCCAGGATGCTGGCGTCATGACCTGAGAAGGCAGATGCTTAACACACTGAACCAGTCGGGTGTCCTGAAAATTCTGCTTTGAAATGTAACCTGGGCAATCATCAATTTATTTATTTTATTAATAGTTTTATTATTATTAATTTTTAATATTTTATTTTAAAATTAAATTTATTTTCTTTTCTTTAATTAATTTTATTTTTTATTTATTTTATAATTCGTTTTTATCATTTATTTAAGATTTAGATTTATTTATTTAAGATTTATTTATTTATTATTTATTATTTATTTGTTTAAGATTTTTGAAATTTATTTAACACAGAGAGAGATAGAGGTCACAAGTAGACAAAGAGACAGGCAGAGGGATATGGGGAAGCAGGCTCCCTGCTGTGCAGACAGCCCAATGTGGGGCTTGATCCCAGGATCCTGGGATCACGACCTGAGCCGAAGGCAGAGGATTAACCCACTGAGCCACCCAGGTACCCTAGATTCATTAACAAGTTACGTTACAATAAAAAGGTCACCTTTTAGAGTGCAGTCTGGAGGATAGTTTGATTTTTCAGTGGGGTGAGCTGTTGGGGTCTTGGAAAATGACAGGGTCCTTATGGAGCTCAGTCTGAAGTTGCTGTACCAGTTAACAATGGACAGGGTCTGATCGTAGAGCTTAATGTTACCTCTATTATCACCTGTGACAATATAGCTGAAATGGAGAAAAACATCTGTTTGGGAACAAATAGTAGTAAGTACCATCTCCTGAACAGCTCATTTTGTGTCCAGCTCTGGACTCCAGGTGTTGTACAAATTTCACTTTAATACTGTCCTATGAGGCTGATTTTACAGTTGCTCCACTTTATATCTGGGGAACTAAGGTTCGGAGAAGTTGAGAAATTTGCTCAAGGCCTGGGGTGGCCAGATTTAGCAAATAAAAAATGCAGAATCCCCAATGAAATTTGTATTCCAGTGAAACAAGCAGTAATCTTTCAGTAGAAGTATGTCCCAAATACCGCTGGGGACCAACTTACACACAGCAGCCCCATCAGGCCCTGTGGCTAGACTGTGCAGGGACCCAGGTGTACCTAATGCAAAGCACACGCTCTGTCTTGCTCTCCTCTCCCTGCCCTCTCCCATCAGCCACGTGCAGTGGCAGTGGGCATTGATTGACATTCTCTGCCATGAGACCACAGAGGACACAAGAGTCCGTCCACCAACCCTCTGAAATCACACAGCTTGGCAAAAGCACACAATCCACTTTACAGGAGGGTACTGCTCTCAGAGCCATATAAAACCCTGCCCAGGGGTCACAGCCAAAGGCAGTGTCCTGTGACATAATGGCTTTTATTTCCAGTTCTCAGATCCATCCCAAATGTTTTTCTTTTTTAAGCTTCTGGCATAAGTCTAATCACGGTGGGGGGGTCAGGATGGGGGATGAATTTCCTATTATAGATGCAAAGTGATTAAATGCAGTTTCTGATTAATAAGCTAGGCAGGTGGACAGAGTAATTGGCGAGAACATCTTTCACTGCCCTCTGCTGGAAAGAAATGGCAAAACAGGCCAAGTGTTTCCAAGATCCTTGGTGGGCTCCCTGGTCCTGGCTGGGTTTTATTTACCATGGAGAGAGGGGAGAACAGGCCTGGTCTTCACTGGGCCCTAGCCCCCCATCTCATTAAAGGCTGATTCATCATCAGCTGCAATTATTCTACTGTATTTTCCACACCGCTGAATGAGCACAATTTGCATTTCTCTTTGTAAAGACATGCCAGGACCTCACCACTCTCTGTATTAAAAGAAATGAAAAAAAAAAAGCAGGGTTTTTGGAAAGCAGATGGCACAGTGACTCCAAACACATGGCCCTGGTCCCTGTCATGAGGCAGAGTACTCCATCCTGTCGGGAACTTCTCAAGCATACTGATAATGACGATTTCATCTAGAGCTCCCCTGTGCCAGACAAGGTGCTAGAGTTTTACGTGGCTTGTCTCACAAAAATTCTCATAAAATCACCCTGAGGGAGAGTGTCGTCATGCCCATTTTGCTTGTGGAAAAATGGAGGCTCAGCCAAGTTAAGTCCCTTGCCCCAAGTCATTCAGCAAGGCAGGGATACGTCTGGAATGTGAACCCCTTTCTGTCTGAGACTAAGGCCTTTAATGACCCTCTCTGAGCCCCCACAGCCTCTTCAGTCAGCAAACTTTATAAAGTTCTATTGTATTTCATCTTTTCATAACGGGTAAGTTGTTTTGTAATCAGAAGAAACAATATACTTATTTATGTCATTTCCTTAAAATTAAAGTACATAATATTTAGGGTTAAAGTGACGCTAATTAGTGTGGAAGGAAAAAAACAAGTTTTTGTTTCACCAACACAAAGGGGTTCTTTAAAAGTAATACATGGCGATGATTTAAAAAAAAAAAAAAGGCAAACCAGGGAGGAGTCAAGATGGCAGAGAAGTAGCAGGCTGAGACAACATCAGATAGCAGGAGATCAGCAAGATAGCTTATCAAACCATCCCAAACACCTACAAATCCAACAGGAGACCGAATAGAAGAGGAGCAGCAATTCTAGAAACAGAAAATCGACCACTTTCTGAAAGGTAGGACCAGCGGAGAAGTGAATCCAAAGCGCAGAGGGAGGGGCCGGCTTCCAGCAAGAAGCAGAGCAATGGAGCACAAAATCAGAACTTTTAAAAGTCGGCTCCACTGGGTGACACCGCTCCAGAGGCTAAGCCGGGTGAAGCCATGCCAGGAGAGCGTGGCCTCAGGTCCCTCAGTCTAACAGAAGGATTGGGGCTGTCTGAGTGTTGCAGAGCTCATAGGTATTAGAGTGGGGAAGCCGGCTACAGAGATGGGAGTTGAGGAGCGAGCTCTCAGCTTGGGGTTACCTTATTGTCATCCAGGGCACAGGCCACTGCTCTGTGAGCAGGGACCCCTCAAGATCTGGGGAAACCCCCCTGGAAGAACTCAGAGATCTGTGAGGTTTGGAGACTCCAGGCAGGGATGTGTGCCAGAGACACAGAAGCTTAGTCACAGGTTGGAGGACAGGGAGACTAGAGTGATTCAGTGCTTTTCTCCAAGGGCACACTGAGGAGCAGGGCACCGAGCTATCGGCTCCTCTGGGCCAGAGATTGGGAGGCCGCCATTTTCATTCCTGACCTCTGGAACTCTACAGAAAGTGTTCAGGGATAGTGAACCCGAGCGGATTACTTAGCCTTGCCCCTGGTAAGGGCGGTGCATTTCCACCTTGGGCAAATACACTTGAGAATCACTATAATATGCCTCTCCCCAGAAGGTCAACCAGAAATCCAGCCAAGACCAAGTTCATGTACCAAGAGAACAGCGGAATTCCAGAGGAGGAGAAAGCAAAGCATAGAATTCATGGCTTTCTCCCCATGATTCTTTAGTCTTGCAAAGTTAATAATTTTTTTAATTTTATTTTTTTTCTTCCACTAAATTTTTTTTTAACTTTTACCCTTTCCTCTTTTAACATTTTTAACTAGTGTCTCTTAACAATACCTTTCATAAAAAAATATTTTTAGGAACCTTCATTATTAAAGTCATATTTTATCCTTCATTGTATCTAACTTTATTTTTTGTTGACACATAGGGTTTTTTCTTCTAAAAAAAAATTTGGGTTACAACTTCTTCTGATAGATCAAAATACACCCTAAATCTAGCACAGGGCTTTGTTATAGTCTCCAGCCTGAGCAAATTGTCTCCAATTTCTTTTTTTTTTTTTAATTCTCCCAACCAATTTATCCTTATCAACTCCTTTTATAGAAATTAAAAAAAAAATTTCCATCTTTATAATCATATTCCATCCCTTCATTGTGTTTACCCTTATATATGTTTTTCATTCTTTAAAATTTTGGGAGGTAGTTTCTTCTAAGAGACCAAAATACTCCCAAAATTAAGTGGGTGACCCTGTTCTATTCAACAGTCTAATATATGTTTTTCTTTATTTGTTTACTGTTTAAATTTTTTTTTTCTGAACTTCTTTTTACCTCCTTTCTTTCCCCCATGATTTGGTGTCTCTTCTGATTTGGTTAAAGCACATTTTCCTGGGGTCTTTGCCACTCTTTTAGTATTTTATTCACTCCTTCATATATTCTTATCTGGATAAAATGACAAGGCAGAAAAACTCACCACAAAAAAAAAAAGAGGCAGTACTGAAGGCTAGGGACCTAATCAATATGGACATTGGTAATATGTCAGATCTAGAGTTCAGAATGATGATTCTCAAGGTGCTAGCCAGGCTTGAAAAAGGCATGGAAGATATTAGAGAAACCTGTCTGGAGAAATAAAAGCCCTTTCTGGAGAAATAAAAGAACTAAAATCAACCAAGTTGAAATAAAAAAAAGCTGTTAATGAGGTGCAATAAAAAAAATGGAGGCTCTCACTGCTAAAATAAATGAGGCAGAAGAGAGAATTAGTGATATAGAGGACCAAATGACAGAGAATAAAGAAGCTGAGCAAAAGAGAGACAAACAACTACTGGACTATGAGGGGAGAAAACGAGAGATAAATGATACCATAAGATGAAACAACGTCAGAATAATTGGGATTCCAGAAGAAGAAGAAAGAGAGAGGGGAGCAGATGTATATTGGAGAGAATTATTGTAGAGAATTTCCCTAATACGGCAAAGGGAAAAAGCATCAAAATCCAGGAGGTGCAGAGAACCTCCCTCAAAATAAGTAAGAATAAGTCCACACCTTGTCATCTAATAGTAAAATTTACAAGTCTTAGCGACAAAGAGAAAATCCTTAAAGCATCACAGGACAAGAAGTCTGTAAAATACAATGGTAAAAAACATTAGATTGGCAGCAGACTTATCGACAGAGACCTGGCAGGCCAGAAAGAACTGGCATGATATATTCAGAGCACTAAATGACAAAAACATGAAGCCAAGAATCCTATATCCAGCTAGGCTATCATTGAAAATAGAAGGAGAGATAAAAACCTTCCAGGACAAACAAAAACAAAGAATTTGTAAACACCAAACCAGCTCTACAGGGTATATTGAAAGGGGTCCTCTAAGCAATGAGAGAGCCCAAAAATAGTAGACCAGAAAGGAACAGAGACAATATATAGTAATAGTCACCATAGAGGCAATATAATGGCATTAAATTCATATCTCTCAATAGTTACCTGGAATGTAAATGGGCTAAATGCCCCAATCAAAAGACACAGGGTATCAGAATGGATTAAAAAAAAAATCAATAAGTTGTCTATGAGAAACTCATTTTAGACCCAAAGTCACCTCCAGATTTAAAGTGAGGGGGTGGAAAAGAATTTACCATGCAAATGGACATCAAAAGAAAGCTGGGGTGGCAATCCTTATATCAGATCAATTAGATTTTAAGCCAAAGACTATAGTAAGAGACGAGGAAGGACACTATATCATACTCAAAGTGTCTGTCCAGGAAGAAGATCTAACAAGTTTAAATATCTATGCCCCTATCATGGGAGCAGCCAACTATATAAACCAATTAAGAACAAAATCAAAGAAACACATCGACCATAATACAAAAATAGTAGGAGATTTTAACACTCCCCTCACTGAAATGGGCAGATCATCCGAGCAAAAGATCAACAAGGAAATAAAGGCCTTAATGACACACTGGACCAGATAGATATCACAGATATATTCAGAACATTCCATCCCAAAGCAACAGAATACACATTCTTCTCTAGTGCAAATGGAACATTCTCCAGAATAGATGACATCCTGGGCCACACAACTGGTATCAGAAGATTGGGATCAATCCCTGCATATTTTCAGATCACTGCTCTGAAGGTAGAACTCAATCACAAGAGGAAAGTTGGAAAGAACCCAAATACATGGAGACTAAACAGCATCCTTCTAAAGAATGAATGGGTCAACCAGGAAATTAAAGGAGAATTGAAAAAACTCATGGAAACAAATGATAATGAAAACACAATGGTTCAAAATCTGTGTGACACAGCAAAGGCAGTCCTGAGATGAAAATATATAGCGGTACAAGCATTTCTCAAGAAACAAGAAAGTTCTCCAATGAACAACCTAACCCTACACCTAAAGGAGCGGGAGATAAAACAGCAGAGAAAGCCTAAACCCATCAGGAGAAGAGAAATCACAAAGATCAGAGCAGAAATCAATGAAATAGAAACCAGAAAAACAATAGAACAAATCAACGAAACTAGGAGCTGATTCTTTGAAAGAATTAATAAGATTGATAAAACCCTGGCCAGACTTATCAAAAAGAAAACAGAACGGACCCAAATAAGTGAAATCATGAATGAAAGAGGAGAGATCACAAAAAACACCAAAGATATACGAACAATTATAAGAACATATTATGAGCAATTCTATGCCAGCAAATTTGACAATCTGGAAGAAATGGATGCATTCCTAGAGACATATAAACTACCACAACCGAACCAGGAAGAAATAGTAAACCTGAACAGACCCATAACCAGTAAGGAGATTGAAACATTCATCAAAAATCTCCAAACAAACAAGAGCCCAGGGCCAGACAGCTTCCCAGGGGAATTCTACCAAATATTTAAAGAAGAATTAATTCCCATTTCCTGAAGCTGTTCCAAAAAAAAAAAAAAAATAGAAATGGAAGGAAAACTTCCAAACTCATTTTATGAGGCTAGCATTACCTTGATCCCCAAACCAGACAAGGATTCCATCAAAAAAGAGAACTACAGACCAATACCCTTGATGAACAGAGATGGGAAAATTCTCACCAAAATACTATCCAATAGGATCCAACAGTACATTAAAAGGATTATTCACCATGACGAAGTGAGATTTATCCCAGGGCTGCAAGGTCGGTTCAACATCTGCAAATCAACCAATGTGATACAATACATTATTAAAAGAAAGAACAAGAAACATATGATACTCTCAATAGATGCTGAAAAAGCATTTGAGAAAGCACAGCATCCCTTCCTGATCAAAACTCTTCAAAGTGTAGGGATGGAGGGCACATACCTCAATATCATCAAAGCCATTTATGAAAAACCCACTGCAAATATCATTCTCAATGGAGAAAAACTGAGAGCTTTTCTACTAAGGTCAGGAACACGGCAGGGATATCCATTATCACCACTCCTATTCAACATAGTACTAGAAGTCCTAGCCTCAGCCATCAGACAACAATAAGAAATTAAAGGCATCCAAATCAGCAAAGAAGAAGTCAAACTATCACTCTTTGCAAATGATATGATACTATATGTGGAAAACCCAAAGACTCCACTCCAAATCTGCTAGAATTTGTACAGGAATTCAGTAAAGTGTCAGGATATAAAATCAATGCACAGAAATCAGTTGCATTTCTCTACACCAACAACAAGACAGAAGAAAGAGAAATTAAGGAGTCAATCCCATTTACAATTGTACCCAAAACCATAAGATACCTAGGAACAAACCGAACCAAAGAGGCAAGGATCTATACTCAGAAAACTATAAAGAACTCATGAAAGAAATTGAGGAAGACACAAAGAAATGGAAAAATGTTCCATGTTCCTTGATTGGAAGAACAAATATTGTGAAAATGTCTATGCTACCTAAAGCAATCTACACATTTAATGCAATTCCTATCAAAATCCCACCCATTTTTTTTTCAAAGAAATGGAACAAATAATCCTAAAATTTATATGGAACCAAAAAAGATTTCGAATAGCCAGAGGAATATTGAAAAAGAAAACCAAAGTTGGGGGCATCACCATTCCAGACTTCAAGCTCTGTTACAAAACTGTCATCATCAAGAAAGTATGGTATTGGCACAAAAACAGACACATAGATCAATGGAACAGAATAGAGAGCCCAGAAATAGACCCTCAACTCTATGGTCAACTAATCTTTGACAAAGCAGGAAAGAATGTCCAATGGAAAAAAGAAAGCCTCTTCAACAAATGGTGTTAGGGAAATGGGACAGCCACATGCAGAAAAATGAAACTGGACCATTTCCTTATACCACACACGAAAATAGACTCAAAATGGATGAAGGACATCAATGTGAGAAAGGAATCCATCAAAATCTTTGAGGAGAACACAGGCAGCAACCTCTTTGACCTCAGCCGCAGCAACTTCTTCCTAGGAACATCGCCAAAGGCAAGGGAAGCAAGGACGAAAATGAACTATTGGGATTTCATCACAATCAAATGCTTTTGCACAGCAAAGGAAACAGTTAACAAAACCAAAAGACAACTGACAGAATGGGAGAAGATATTTGCAAATGACATATCAGATAAAGGGCTAGTATCCAAAATCTATAAAGAACTTATCAAACTCAACACCCAAAGAACAAATAATCCAATCAAGAAACGGGCAGAGGACATGAACAGACATTTCTGCAAAGAAGACATCCAGATGGCCAACAGACACATGAAAAAGTGCTCCACATCACTCGGCATCAGGGAAATACAAATCAAAACCACAATGAGATACCACCTCACACCAGTCAGAATGGCTAAAATTAACAAGTCAGGAAATGACAGATGCTGGCGAGGATGCGGAGAAAGGGGAACCCTCCTACACTGTTGGTGGGAATGCAAGCTGGTGCAACCGCTCTGGAAAACAGCATGGAGGTTGCTCAAAAAGTTGAAGATAGAGCTACCCTATGACCCAGCAATTGCACTATTGTGTATTTATCCTAAAGATACAAACGTGGTGATCCGAAGGGGCACGTGCACCCAAATTTTTAAAGCAGCAATGTCCACAATAGCCAAACTATGGAAAGAACCTAGATGTCCATCAACAGATGAATGGATAAAGAAGATGTGGTGTATATATATACAATGGAATACTATGCAGCCATCAAAAGAAATGAATTCTTGCAATTTGCGATGACATGGATGGAACTAAAGGGTATTATGCTTAGCTAAATAAATCAATTGGAAAAAGACAACTCTCATATGATCTCCCTGATATGAGGAAGTGGAGATGCAACGTGGGGGATTTGGGGGGTAGGAAAGAATAAATGACACAAGATGGGATCGGGAGGGAGACAAACCATAAGAGACTCTTAATCTCACAAAACAAACTGAGAGTTGCTGCGGGGAGGGGGTTAGGGAGAGGGTGGTAGGGTTTTGGACATTGGGGAGGGTATGTGCTATGGTGAGTGTTGGGAAGTGTGTAAACCTGGTGATTCACAAACCTGTACCCCTGGGGCTAATAATGCATTATATGTTTATAAAAATAAAAAAAAATTTAAAAAGCAAACCAATTAGTACAAATGAGATCAAAAGAAGAGGTAAAGTCACCCCCACCCTTGATCCCACTTCTCTGTTCTTTTCCTCAAAGGCACCACACATTCCCAGTTAATAAGGAATTTCTCCATAAATATTCACTGTATATACGAAATATGTGTATAGATCCAAAAGGGTTATAATATACTTTGGTAATCACTGATAGCTGCTTTTTTATTAAGTTAATTATAAATCAACTGTAGTGAGCATAGTGATGCCCTCATTCTGAAAATGAACCAATTTACAAGGTTTGATTTGAGGAAAGCCCACAGAGGTGGAGGTAGGCTATGGTGGGCAGTGGATATCCCAGACAACCAGCTTCCCTTCCATTGTCGTGGAAAGTATTAGTGTTAAATTCAAATGAAAGACTGATTGGCTAAATTTTCCCATGAGCTTGTTGAAGGTCTGCATTTCAGAAGACAGATTACACATTACATTGGTGATAAATATAAAACAAAGCATTTGTCAGTATAGCATATTTTATAATATTACATTGATTTGCAGTAGGAAGAAAGATAAAATCAACAAACCAAGCACTAGGAAATCTCTTCCCCATGAATTGTCATGGTGCAGGCCATTCTGAACCTCTGAAGGTTTGCTAGGAGCAAGTGAAGGGCTATGTACAGGGTTCACTAAACTGTTTGCTTCAAGCAAATGAAAAAGGGTTTAACCACTTTTTTATACCTGTTTAACTTCTCTTACCGAGGTTTCAGAGACTGATAAAAGAAACTAATGTCTGTTTGTGCAAAAGCATGCTCCAGTTGTAAGATATCACAGAATAATTATCCCAGTCTTATAACTATAAACCTTTCCCATAAACTATTTTCCCATCAGTAGAAGTTAAGTACTGTACACAGACATGCCCCTGATACCTCATGAAATCTGTGGTACATAAAATAAAGCATGAGAGCCATCTTTCTCAGGCAATGTCTAGGAGACAAATTGTAGAAAGTACCCAGAGTGGTGAGTAGAGCCCCACAATGAATGTACAGCGAATGAATCAAAGAAATGCCTTCATTTGTCACATGATACAGCAAGTTTGCTTCCCCCTTCTCTAACGACACAGAGAAGACCCTAGGGCTCACCTCTTCTGTCCTGAACACAGGAGGGTCAGAAAAACAATAACTGGTTAAGGGAGGCCATTAAGTTCTTCCTAAGAGCTGCTCTACTTCCATACAAGGCATTGTCATGGCTTGTGGGTTCTGTATTTGCAAACTCACCTACACGCTAAAATTTATAACCCCAAAATCTACCCTTGTGGCCCTTTCATGATGGTTTGCAGATACGTGCAAATGTCGAGTGGCAAAAATCTGACTCTCCCTGTGCACACGTTCCTAGCTGAGTCCAGTGAGGTCATGCTCTGCCTTCTTACTCCAGCTTTCAAACTGTAAACAAGTGTCTTCCCAGGGTCTGCTTAGTGCCACGTGGGTCATGTTTTTGAGGTGCTTTTTGTTGGTGAGGGCAGTATTTAAACTAATGCAAACATGGTACTGAAAGGCAGTCTAGTGATGTACCTTCCAGAGCATATACCTGAGTTAGATAAACGTCATTCAGGCGTGAATTTCAGAGCTGCTGGCTGTGAGTCAGTGCTAATGCATCAACATTATGTATTAAATATGGTGTCTTCAAATGAAAACACACATAAGACAAGGTTATGTATCTATCTGTTGGGGAAACTGTTATGACCTGAGACTGGCAGGAACCTAATCCTATACTTCTACTAGGAGCAATGATTTTGTATTCTCTGAGGTCTGCAGAGACTTTGTGAAACTTAACTGCCACACATAATGAGAATTGACTTTATTGTTTGATAACTTTGATTTATGAAAAAGCTGTTTGGACATAATCATCTTTGTATTCATCCATCTCAAAAAATTTTTTTGCATGCCCTCTTAAAAATAGATTTCTATAAATCCTACCAAGAGTGAAGAAAGGAAGCAGAAGAAACACCATCAGGTGCTCACTGAGGGCAGCTTACATGGGTGTCAAATGCAGAAATTGTGGCAGGAGATGGGACCCGAGGTCCACCTCAGATGTGACAATGGCTCCAGGTGAGCAGGCAGGCAAGATAACTTGCCTGACGCACCTGATGCACCACCTTTGTACTGACTCTGAAACATCTAAATACCTAAGATCATGTTTTATTATTCTGAGAACCAGGTAGCCTAAAAATGAGTCACTCATGTTCAACTCTTTATTATATCACTCCGAAATAACTTTTCATTCTTTGTCATATGCACACATATATTAGTAAAGGCATCACTTTTTCTGGGGCATTTTCTCAGGGTAGTCAAATTTCTTTTCTATAAGATTTTATTTTGAACAATGGTTCCATTATTTTCAGCTGACAATTCAATACAGTAAAGGACTCAAGTAAAAATGTCCAATGATTTTCCCATGGTGTACTATCAAGACAAACAAAGAGTAGCCCGAATTGACTAAGCTTACACATATTTACTCTCCACAACATCTGAAATATAAAAATGCAGGAAGCATACTCACTTTTTCTGTTAAATGTGGGGCACTGTGAGCAAGTATATCTCCCTCTTCATACTGAGGGGTACAGAAAAAATAATCACTACTACAAAAAGACCTGGTTTCTAAAATAAAGAACTACTATAACCACAAAATCAAAAGCAATGCATCTAAACAGGGTCAGAGCTTTGTAATCTCCTCAGATAAGAGAACCTGCCTCAAGGAACATCTGAAAGCATTCTCGAAGAAAAGCAAATATGTTAAAAAAAATGCCACAAATGATTTTGACTTTAAATGGCAGTAAATGAAAATCTGAATGCTACATTTCTAAGGCATTAAAGCTACAATAAGTACCAGAAGTAACAACTAGCACTGAAAATTGGTGATAGAATCAGTGTTTTTGTTTTTGTTTTTTGCATTTTCAATTGAGGTAAAGTTCACATAACATAACATAAAATTAACCGTTAATCATTTTATTATTTTTTTAAAGATTTTATGCTTTAAATATTTTTAAAATTTAAATTCAATTAATTATAAAGACTTTATTTGAGGGGTGCCTGGGTGGCTCAGTGGGTTAAGCCTCTGCCTTCGGCTCAGGTCATGATCCCAGGGTCCTGGGTTCAAGCCCCACATCAGGCTTCCTGCTCAGCAAGGAGCCTGCTTCCCCCTCTGCCTCTTGTGACTACTTGTGATCTCTGTCAAATACATAAATAAAATCTTAAAAATAAATAAATAATGATTTTATTTTGAAGTAATCTCTACACCAAAGAACTCCAAGATCAAGAGCCACGTGCTCCACTGACTGAGCCAGCCAGGCATTCCAACCATTAGTCATTTTAAAGTGTACAATTCGGGGACACTTAGTACACTAACAATGCTGGGCACCATCCCCTCTGTCTAGTTCAGGACATTTTCATCACCCCAAAAGGAAGACCCACTCCAGTAAGTTATCATGCATGCCCCTCCCACAGGCCCAACAGCCACCATTCTGTACTTTGTCTCAATGGATTCTCCTCTTCCAGACATTTCACATCGATGGACTCATACAGAACATGGTTTGTTGTGTATGGTTTCTTTCCTTTACCATGATGTATACGAGGTTCATCCATGTCGTAGTGGGTGTCAGTGCCTCGTTCCTTTGTATGCCCAAACCATAGTCCATTGTACAGATGGACCACATTTTGTTTATGCATTCCTTAGCTGAGGGACATGTGGTTTGCTTCTACATTTTGGTTACTGACAATCATACTGCTGCTATGAATGTTTGTATGTTTGTATTTGTCTGAATGCCTGTTTTAAATTCTTTTGGATTTAGGAATTGCTGGGTCATGTGGTAATTTTGTTTAACTTTGATGTTTTTTTTTTAATCTCATGATTCTGCCCTGTGTCAGTATATACATTGCTGATCTGTTTGCCAATTCCTTTCTAAAAGGGGGTAAAAACCAAGGTCTTGAAAAACCCTGCATTTTTTTTAAATTTTATTTTTTAATAACCATATAATATATTTTTATCCCCAGGGGTACAGGTCTGTGAATTGCCAGGTTTACACACTTCACAGCACTCACCATAGCACATACCCTCCCCAATGTCCATAACCCCACCCCCCCAACCACCTTCCCCCCATCAACCCTCAGTTTGTTTTGTGAGATTAAGAGTCACTTATGGTTTGTCCCCCTCCCAATCCCATCTTGTTTCATTTACTCTTCTCCTACCCCCTTAACCCCCATGTTGCATCTCCTCTCCCTCATATCAGGGAGATCATATGATAGTTGTCTTTCTCTGATTGACTTATTTCGCTAAGCATGATACCCTCTAGTTCCATCCACGTCATCGCAAATGGCAAGATTTCATTTCTTTTGATGGCTGCATAGTATTCCATTGTGTATATATACCACATCTTCTTTATCCATTCGTCTGTTGATGGACATCTAGGTTCTTTCCATAGTTTGGCTATTGTAGACATTGCTGCTATAAACATTCGGGTGCACGTGCCCCTTCGGATCACTATGTTTGTATCTTTAGGGTAAATACCCAGCAGTGCAATTGCTGGGTCATAGGGTAGTTCTATTTTCAACATTTTGAGGAACTTCCATGCTGTTTTCCAGAGCGGTTGCACCAGCTTGCATTCCCACCAACAGTGTAGGAGGGTTCCCCTTTCTCCGCATCCTCGCCAGCATCTGTCATTTCCTGACTTGTTAATTTTAGCCATTCTGACTGGTGTGAGGTGGTATCTCATTGTGGTTTTGATTTGTATTTCCCTGATGCCGAGTGATGTGGAGCACTTTTTCATGTGTCTGTTGGCCATCTGGATGTCTTCTTTGCAGAAATGTCTGTTCATGTCTTCTGCCCGTTTCTTGATTGGATTATTTGTTCTTTGGGTGTTGAGTTTGCTAAGTTCTTTATAGATTCTGGACACTAGCCCTTTATCTGATATGTCGTTTGCAAATATCTTCTCCCATTCTGTCAGTTGTCTTTTGGTTTTGTTAACTGTTTCCTTTGCTGTGCAAAAGCTTTTGATCTTGATAAAATCCCATTTTTGTCCTTGCTTCCCTTGCCTTTGGCGATGTTCCTTGGAAGATGTTGCTGCGGCTGAGGTCAAAGAGGTTGCTGCCTGTGTTCTCCTCAAGGATTTTGATGGATTCCTTTCTCACATTGAGGTCCTTCATCCATTTTGAGTCTATTTTCGTGTGTGGTGTAAGGAAATGATCCAATTTCATTTTTCTGCATGTGGCTGTCCAATTTTCCCAACACCATTTATTGAAGAGGCTGTCTTTTTTCCATTGGACATTCTTTCCTGCTTTGTTGAAGATTAGTTGACCATAGAGTTGAGGGTCTATTTCTGGGCTCTCTATTCTGTTCCATTGATCTATGTGTCTGTTTTTGTGCCAGTACCATGCTGTCTTGATGATGACAGCTTTGTAATAGAGCTTGAAGTCCAGAATTGTGATGCCACCAACTTTGGCTTTCTTTTTCAATATTCCTCTGGCTATTCAAGGTCTTTTTTGGTTCCATATAAATTTTAGGATTATTTGTTCCATTTCTTTGAAAAAAATGGATGGTACTTTGATAGGAATTGCATTAAATGTGTAGATTGCTTTAGGTAGCATAGACATTTTCACAATATTTATTCTTCCAATCCAGGAGCATGGAACATTTTTCCATTTCTTTGTGTCCTCCTCAATTTCTTTCATGAGTACTTTATAGTTTTCTGAGTACAGATTCTTAGCCTCTTTGGATAGGTTTATTCCTAGGTATCTTATAGTTTTGGGTGCAATTGTAAATGGGATTGACTCCTTAATTTCTCTTTCTTCTGTCTTGTTGTTGGTGTAGAGAAATGCATCTGATTTCTGTGCATTGATTTTATATCCTGACACTTTACTGAATTCCTGTACAAGTTCTAGCAGTTTTGGAGTGGAGTCTTTTGGGTTTTCCACATATAGTATCATATCATCTGCGAAGAGTGATAGTTTGACTTCTTCTTTGCTGATTTGGATGCATTTAATTTCCTTTTGTTGTCTGATTGCTGAGGCTAGGACTTCTAGTACTATGTTGAATAGCAGTGGTGATAACGGACATCTCTGCCGTGTTCCTGACCTTAGCGGAAAAGCTTTCAGTTTTTCTCCATTGAGAATGATATTTGCGGTGGGTTTTTCATAGATGGCTTTGATAATATTGAGGTATGTGTCCTCTATCCCTACACTTTGAAGAGTTTTGATCAGGAAGGGATGCTGTACTTTGTCAAATGCTTTTTCAGCATCTATGGAGAGTATCATATGGTTCTTGTTCTTTCTTTTATTAATGTGTTGTATCACATTGATTGATTTGCAGATGTTCAACCAACCTTGCAGCCCTGGAATAAATCCCACTTGGTCGTGGTGAATAATCCTTTTAATGTACTGTTGGATCCTATTGGCTAGTATTTTGGTGAGAATTTTCGCATCTGTGTTCATCAAGGATATTGGTCTGTAGTTCTCTTTTTTGATGGGATCCTTGTCTGGTTTTGGGATCAAGGTGATGCTGGCCTCATAAAATGAGTTTGGAAGTTTTCCTTCCATTTCTATTCTTTGGAACAGTTTCAGGAGAATAGGAATTAGTTCTTCTTTAAATGTTTGGTAGAATTCCCCCAGGAAGCCGTCTGGCCCTGGGCTTTTGTTTGTTTGGAGATTTTTGATGAATGTTTCAATCTCCTTACTGGTTATGGGTCTGTTCAGGCTTCCTATTTCTTCCTGGTTTGGTTGTGGTGGTTTATATGTCTCTAGGAATGCATCCATTTCTTCCAGATTGTCAAATTTGTTGGCATAGAGTTGCTCATAGTATGTTCTTATAATTGTCTGTATTTCTTTGGTGTTAGTTGTGATCTCTCCTCTTTCATTCATGATTTTATTTATTTGGGTCCTTTCTCTTTTCTTTTTGACAAGTCTGACCAGGGGTTTATCAATCTTATTAATTCTTTCAAAGAACCACCTCCTAGTTTCATTGATTTGTTCTATTGTTTTTTTGGTTTCTATTTCATTGATTTCTGCTCTGATCTTTATGATTTCTCTTCTCCTGCTGGGTTTAGGGTTTCTTTCTTGTTCTTTCTCCAGCTCCTTTAGGTGTAGGGTTAGGTTGTGTACCTGAGACCTTTCTTGTTTCTTGAGAAAGGCTTGTACCGCTATATATTTTCCTCTCAGGACTGCCTTTGTTGTGTCCCACAGATTTTGAACCGTTGTGTTTTCATTATCATTTGTTTCCATGAATTTTTTCAATTCTTCTTTAATTTCCTGGTTGACCCATTCATTCTTTAGAAGGATGCTGTTTAGTCTCCATGTATTTGGGTTCTTTCCAACTTTCCTCTTGTTATTGAGTTCTAACTTCAGAGCATTGTGGTCTGAAAATATGCAGTGAATGATCCCAATCTTTTGATACCGGTTGAGACCTGATTTAGGACCGAGGATGTGATCTATTCTGGAGAATGTTCCATGTGCACTGGAGAAGAATATGTATTCTGTTGCTTTGGGATGAAATGTTCTGAATATATCTGTGATATCCATCTGGTCCAGTGTGTGATTTAAGGCCTTTATTTCCTTGTTGATCTTTTGCTTGGATGATCTGTCCATTTCAGTGAGGGGAGTGTTAAAGTCCCCTACTATTATTGTATGATTGTTGATGTGTTTCTTTGATTTTGTTCTTAATTGGTTTATATAGTTGGCTGCTCCCACGTTAGGGGCATAGATATTTAAAATTGTTAGATCTTCTTGTTGGACAGATCCTTTGAGTATGATATAGTGTCCTTCCTCATCTCTTATAGTCTTTGGCTTAAAATCTAATTGATCTGATATAAGGATTGCCACTCCTGCTTTCTTTTGATGTCCATTAGCATGGTAAATTCTTTTCCACCCCCTCACTTTAAATCTGAAGGTGTCTTCGGGTTTAAAATGAGTTTCTTGTAGGCAACATATAGATGGGTTTTGTTTTTTTATCCATTCTGATACCCTGTGTCTTTTGATTGGGGCATTTAGCCCATTAACATTCAGGGTAACTATTGAGAGATAAGAATTTAGTGCCATTGTATTGCCTGTAAGGTGACTGTTATTGTATATTGTTTCTGTGCCTTTCTGATCTACTACTTTTAGGCTCTCTCTTTGCTTAGAGGACCCCTTTCAATATTTCCTGTAGAGCTGGTTTGGTGTTTGCAAATTCTTTCAGTTTTTGTTTGTCCTGGAAGCTTTTAATCTCTCCTTCTATTTTCAATGATAGCCTAGCTGGATATAGTATTCTTGGCTGCATGTTTTTCTCATTTAGTGCTCTGAATATATCATGCCAGCTCTTTCTGGCCTGCCAGGTCTCTGTGGATAAGTCTGCTGACAATCTAATATTTTTACCATTGTATGTTACAGACTTCTTTTCCCGGGCTGCTTTCAGGATTTTCTCTTTTTCACTAAGACTTGTAAATTTTACTATTAAGTGGCGGGGTGTGGACCTATTCTTATTGATTTTGAGGGGGGTTCTCTGAACCTCCTGGATTTTGATGCTTGTTCCCTTTGCCATATTAGGGAAATTCTCTACAATAATTCTCTCCAATATACCTTCTGCTCCCCTCTCTCTTTCTTCTTCTTCTGGAATCCCAATTATTCTAATGTTGTTTCTTCTTATGGTGTCACTTATCTCTCGAATTCTGCCCTCGTGGTCCAGTAGCTGTTTGTCCCTCTTTTGCTCAGCTTCTTTATTTTCTGTCATTTGGTCTTCTATATCGCTAATTCTTTCTTCTGCCTCATTTATCCTAGCAGTGAGAGCCTCCATTTTTGATTGCACCTCATTAATAGCTTTCTTGATTTCAACTTGGTTAGATTTTAGGTCTTTTATTTCTCCAGAAAGGGCTTTTATATCTCCCGAGAGGGTTTCTCTAATATCTTCCATGCCTTTTTCGAGCCCGGCTAGAACCTTGAGAATCATCATTCTGAACTCTAGATCTGACATATTACCAATGTCTGTATTGATTAGGTCCCTAGCCTTCGGTACTGCCTCTTGTTCTTTTTTTTGTGGTGAATTTTTCCGCCTTGTCATTTTGTCCAGATAAGAGTATATGAAGGAGGAAGTAAAATACTAAAAGGGTGACAACAACCCCAGGAAAATATGCTTTAGCCAAATCAGAAGAGATCCCAAATCGTGATGGGGGAGAAAGGGGATAAAAAGAGGTTCAGAAAGAGAAAAAAAAAAAAAGAAAAAGAAAAAAAGAAAAAAAAAAGAAACAATTAAAAAAAGAAAACCAATAATGAAAAAATATAAAAAGGAAAATATATATATATTAGATAAACTAGTTTAAAAACATTAAAAAAGAAAAGAGTAAAAGCTAAAAAAATTTAGCAGAAGAGGAGAAAAAAAATTGTAAAGAAAAAAAATTAAATTAACTGCAAGGCTAAAGAATCATGGGGAGAAAGTCATGAGTTCCGTGCTTTGCATTCTCCTCCTCTGGAATTCCGCTGCTCTCCTTGGTATTGAAACTCCACTCCTTGGTAGGTGAACTTGGTCCTGGCTGGGTTTCTTGTTGATCTTCTGGGGGAGGGGCCTGTTGTAGTGATTCTCAAGTGTCTTTGCCCCAGGCAGAGTTGCACCGCCCTTACCAGGGGCTGGGCTGAGTAATCCGCTCGGGTTCACTTTCGGGAGCTTTTGTTCCCTGAGCGCTTTCCGTAGAGTTCCGGAGGACGGGAATGAAGATGGCGGCCTCCCAGTCTCTGGCCTGGAGGAGCCGAGAGTCCCGGGCCCCACTCCTCAGTGCGCCCTCAGAGAACAGCGCCCAATTGCTCCCGTCACCCTGGCCTCTGGCCACGCTCCGAGCTGACTGAGCCTGCGACCAGTTCAAGGTAACCCCGAGTTTAGAGCTCACTCCTCGACTGTCTCTGTAGCTGGCTTCCTCCTTCTAATACATGTAAGCTCTGCGACACTCAGACACCCCCGATCCTTCTGTGACCCTGCGGGACCTGAGGCCACGCTGACCCCGCGTGGGTTTCACCCCGGTTAAGCCTCTGGAGCGATGTCCCTCAGCGGAACAGACTTTTAAAAGTCCTGATTTTGTGCTCCGTTGCTCCGCCGCTTGCCGGGAGCCGGCCCCTCCCCCCGCGGTCTATCCTCCCGTCGCTTTGGATTCACTTCTCCGCCAGTCCTACCTTTCAGAAAGTGGTTGATTTTCTGTTTCTAGAATTGCTGTTCTTCTTCTCTTCGATCTCCCGTTGGATTTATAGGTGTTTGCAATCTTTAGATAAGCTATCTAGCTGATCTCCCGCTACCTGAAGTAGTCTCAGTCTGCTACTTCTCCGCCATCTTGACTCCTCCCAAAACCCTGCATTTTTTAAACATGTTAAATACATTCAAATAAATATTTGCCTCATTACTTTAAAAAATTAAATGAAATTTAAATTATCTGCTTCTGATTTAATACACTAGTTTCCAATGAGACTAAAGTAAATGCTATAATTAAATCAAAACATTTTAATACATATTTATTACTTCCTAAGTAGATACTGTATGGTTACATTACCAAAACATCTCTACTCGGGGAATGAACATATACTTGTCCCTACATTTAAGACAAATCAAAATATTTCTACTTACCCACAAATAATATATTGCCTGTGTTTTACTGTTGCTCACCAATTCTTTATTATTTGTTGGATTAAAAGTAAGATAGTTCTGAAATATAAAGTATGGAAATATATTACATTATGACAAATTTTCTGTTTCTCTCTGGCTAAGCTAAATGTTAAAAATAAATTATATTATATTAAATAGCTGAGTAGCAATATAAAACAGAAAAGACAACAGCATTTTGCAAGCAATAGGAATAGAATTGAAACCCTGAATGTTAAAATTAATGGTCTCAAATGTGTCCCCTTTTATATTTAGTCTTATTTATTATAATTCATCATCTGTAAATTAGAACAAGCAAAAGTAGCACAATATTTACTGATAACCTTTACTCTGTGTCCTTTTGGACAAAAACTGCTGCATACACATTTCTAAATTTGACAAGGCCACAAGGTAACTTGGAGTGAATGCCAAACACTGGGAAGAGTTTCTGATTCCTGCCAACATGGTGAATAGCATGGACTGCCTGGCTCCCTTCCCATAAATCAACCCTGTGGTAACTATGCAAGTGAGGAAACCACAAAGTTCAGAAGCTGAACAACAGCCACACTACCACGGAGCTCCCTGGGGAGACTGAGGCACATGTCCTGTGGGGGTATGTGTGTGGGAGGGGGTGGCTTCGGCCTGAGGTGAAGGGATGCAGGGGGCAGCCCTGGGAGACAGCTTCTAGAAACATGACTTAAGTTCCCTTCCTGCCACCTCCACACCATCACCTACTCCTTGCCTGCTCCAGGAATGTGAAGGACCAGTGCCAATGTTTGAGAAGTAATTTCAGGACAGCTCCACGGCCTCAGGAGGAGAAGGGGGTTGGCCGGGGGGGTGGGGGCCGAACTGTTGGAAACAAATGCATGGACAAGTCCTCAAAAAGGCTGGAAATCAGCCTCAAATCACTGCGATTTGTGATGCAATTAATCAGTTAATCTTGTTAACTTTGCCAGATGCCAGCAAGAAGCAAAAGTGAGTCTTCCTTGAAGGAAGGTACCATCCTGAGCCTCAAATTATTCCTAGACTTCTTAAAGCATGACACTGGGCATCCAATGAAACACAACCAGGCATATGAAAGAGACATTTCCAAACAACTGACAATCGAGAGTGAAGCAATCATCAGCAAGAGACCCCAGGAGATGCAGGCATAACATCGACACATACAGATTTGACAATAACTGTGGTCATGATGTGCCAGAGAGTAGAGGGCAAGATTGGCAATCTCAGCAGTAACTCTATTTTTAAAAAGAATCAAGTGGAAATTCTATATCTGAAAAAAAAAACATTTAAAATAATTAAAAAGACAATTTAACAGAAAATAAAATATAGCCACAGAAATAATTAGTCATTACAATGGGAAGATAAATTATAGGAGAAAATGTCCACACTGAAGGATAAAGACACAAAAGAACAGACAATATAGACAATAAGAGACATAGAGCACAAGACAGGTCTAATGTCTGTATAATTGGAGTACCAAAAGGAGAGGAAAGAAAAAAAGGTGATAAAAGTGATGTTAAAAGAAGTAGTGGCAGAGAATTTTGCAAAACTGAAGAAAGATATGATATTCCAAGTTCAAAGAACTCCAGAAGATATGTTTTTGTTTTTATTTTTGTTTTTTAGATTTTCATTTTTATTTATTTATCCTTTTTTTGTGAGTAATCTCTTTGCCCAACATGGGGCTTGAACTCACAAGCCAAGATCAAGAGTCACATACTCCACTGGCTGAGCCAGCCAGGCAGCAATTTTGGATTTTTTTTAAAAAATCAACAACATATCCATATACATACAGACACCTCCTTAAAAACTGCTAACAATTATCAGAAAACCTTAAAAGCAGCCAGAATGGGGCAGGAGGGGAAAGACATACATAACTTTCAGAAGAGGGAACAATAAGATTGATAGCTGACTTCTCAATGGAAATGGTGTTAAGTCTGAAGACAACAATATATTCAACGTATGGAAATAACTACCACCATACAGCCCTATAGTTAGGGCCAATATCCTTCAGAAACAAAGATAATTACCAAAAGAAACGAAAGTGTATATCCTACAAAGACTTGTGTATGAAAGTTCATGCAGCTTTGTTTTCAACAGCCACAAACAGGAAACAGGGCAAATGTCTTTTAACAGGTGAATAAGCAAATTGTGACATATCCACTCGATGACTACTCAGCATTCACATTTTAAAGGACACATAAAGAGGAATAAAGAGGAATAAACTATTTTTGCATACATAGATGAATCTCAAAAACTAAATCAAATTAAAAAATTAAATTGAATAAAAGAAGTCAGCGCCCTCCACAAAAAGAGTCCATATCTGTAAAATTCCAGGGAATACAAATGGACAGACATTAATAAACAGGAGGGTAGATGCTGGAAGATGGGTGGAGGGGAACCTTAGGGTTATCCCCATCACAAAGGGAAGCCACTCAAAGACTTTAAGTAAGAGAGTGATAGGATCTGTCCAGCTCACTTAAGAACTCTCGCTCTGGCTGCTGCAGGAAGGCAGGAAGGACTGAGACAAGAGTGAACACAGCTCAGCTGGAAGGATATTGTAGTCACGCAGGGAGCTGTGGTGGCTGTGGAAATGAGAGGGGAGGAAGGATTTTGGGTGCATCTTGGGAGTGCACAGGACTTCAAAGTCATGGGAATGGATGAGAACACCCACAAGAAGGTGTTGCCATAAGAGGAGCTCCCACAACTCAACCCTGAGGACAGCCAGCATTTAGAAGGTGTGCAGTGAAAGAGGACAAGCCCACAGAGGAGCCCAGGGAAGGTTGTGAGCCCAGGGAAGGTGTCTTCAGCACCCACTGGGAACGGTGCTCGTGCTGATGTAATAGTGCTCACTTTACTAAGAAATGCCATTGACTGTGATAAGCACAGATTTGGTAGTGCTGTGGGTAGGTGGAAGACAGATCAGAAGAACCAAAATGTTCATCATCAGTAGGATAGATAAATGAGCTATATTATACTCAGAGTAGAAGAGATTAGATAGGCGTGAAAATAGTGAATTATAGCTCAGTAATCAAAATGGATGAATCTCAGAAATAAGGCAGACAAAATGAAGCAATTATGATTCCCAATATGCACCAAAGAAAACAGGTAAAACAAAATAGGATAGTGCTGAGGGAGGGGCGCCCGGCTGGCTCAGCCAGTAGAGCCCACAGCTCCTGATCTCAGGGTCCTGAGTTCCAGCCCAATGCTGGCTGTGGAGCCTACTTTAAAAAAGTGGTGGCGGGGACCTGGGTGTCTCAGTTGGTTAAGCATCCGCCTCTTGATTTTGACTTAGGTCAGAATCTCAGAGTCCTGAGTTTGAGCTCCACATCAGGCTCTGCACTCGGCATGGAGTCTGCTTGAGAGTCTCTCACTCCCTCTCCGTCTGCCCCTCCCTGCTCACGTTCTCTCTCTCTTGCTCAGAAAAAAAAAAAAAAAGGAAAGTACTGAGAGATACTTGCTAAACAAAAGTATACAGGAAAGCATGGGCATGTGTAACAGAAAATCTGGGAGTTAACCTCAGTTAACTTGGAGATGGGATTGTGGAAGGAGGACAAAGGGATTTCTAGGGCTTGGGTGATGTTCTTTCTTGATAGGGCAGTAAACACACAGGTACCTTTTGTTTCATACCTTAAAGTGTACACATTTTGGATGTATGCGTCCTTTAGCAATGAAAATATAAGGAGATCAAATATTTTGGGCACAAAAGAGTAAATGAGACAAGATGAAGTCAGAAAGCAGGCACAGACAGCACCTCAGAGACATGTAACTATGAAGAGTCACAGAGAGCCACAGCCGGAAGGAGATGCACCACCAGTGGTGTCCCCCAGGGACGGGGGAAATGAACACATGTGTGTCTGCTCAGGGTGTAACCATCCATCGGAGGGAGATCAGATCGCTGCAGGAGAGGGCCTCGAGTGCCTGAGAAGAGTGGCATCTCCGGCACTGGCCGCTTTTACACGCAGAGGGGCAGGAGACTGTGGTGAGGATGAAGCAGGTTGTAGGCTGGGAGTGAGAACAGGCCAGTGTTTGTATCTGATGGCTCCCATTCTCTCAATGCAAAATGAGAGAGGTCATCAGCCAAGAGGAAGAGGAAGGGATGGGGAGGGATGAAGAGAAGGTGTCAGACAGTTCGCTTTAGAAACAAAACAGCCAGCCTACTAGAAAGCTGGGTTGTGCTGAGAGCTTGCTCACCCTTTGTGACTCAAGCCCAAATCGAAGGGCTCGGTCCATCTGGGCGGGCAGGAATGCAGAGCAGGCAGAAGACGGCAGAATCCTTCTAGACTTAGGGCCTTGCAGCGCTGTCCACAGCACATTCCTCTGTGACCGAGATGTTGGTTCATCTATTCTGTCAAACCTGGCAGCCACTGGCCACAGGTGGCTGGGGAGTACTTGAAATGTAGTGACGCCAAGGAAATGAATCTGCAGTTGTGTGTGTTTGTTTGTTTTTGTTTTGTTTTAAAGATTTTATTTATTTAATTGACAGACAGAGATCACACAGTGGGTAGAGAAGCAGGCAGAGAGAGCAGGGAAGCAGGCTCCCTGCTGAGTAGAGAGCCCGATGTGGGGCCCGATCCCAGGACCCTGGAATCATGACCTGAGCCAAAGGCAGCAGCTGAACCCACTGAGCCACCCAGGCGCCCCTGAATCTCAAGTTTTATCTCACTCTAATCGACTTAAATCCAAGTAGCCACATGCATTCAGCAAAGTTTCATGACACAAAATCCTACACATAGCAGTTGTGTTTCTATAGACTAGCATTGAAAACCCATGAAGGGAATGAAGAACACCAATCCACTTATGATATCATAAAAAGACCTAGGAACAAACTTTCGGTGGAGGGTTTGTTTGCTGCAAAGGACACTGCTGAAGGAAACGCAGGAAGATGTAAGAGAATGGAAAGACAGCCTGTGCCCATGGATTGTTTTGTTTTTTGTTTGTTTGTTTGCTTTAAAGATCGTATTTATTTATTTGACAGACAGAGATCACAAGTAGGCAGAGAGGCAGGCAGAGAGGGGGCGGGGGGGAAGCAGACTCCCTACTGAGCAGAGAGCCTTATGCAGGGCTTGATTCCAGGACCCTGGGATCATAACGTGAGCAGAAGCTCAGAGGCTTTAACCCACTGAGCCACACAGGCACCGCTGTGCTCATGGATTGTTAAGAGGACAACTGCCCAAAGCAATCCACAGATTCAATGCAAGCTCTAAAAAGTCCCAGTGCGGTTTCTTGCAGAGGCAGAAAAACTCATTATGGCTGGTGGCTACTGTATCAGCTCAGCTTATAAAAGCTGTGAGGAAATTTTTTGCGGAGACCTAGAGGGACGGTGGGGGGCCAGAAGGAGAGACATGGACATGAAGCTGCAGCATGACATGTGCCCTGCTGAGCCCAGTCACCCAGGCCTTCTGACTGGGTTCTGGGTCCTGCACCCAGGTGAGCACTTTGCACAGTGTCTGGCGCATCGTAGGGACCAACCAGTTGTGTGGTGAGCGAAGGGTGCAAGGATGAGTACGACGACACAGAACAGAAGAGTAGACTTGGTGGGTGTCCTTGGCAAGTCGCTTCAAGCAAACTGAGACTAATAATTTCTGGGTCTCAGTTTGAGAGTTAAGAGCAGTTAAGAGCATGTCTAGAACAGGAAAGGCTGCTGGCCCGTGACTTCAGACAAATTACCTAGTACTTAACAGTAGCAGTCCATTGTGTTACTAAAGAACTCCTTCCCAGCACATTTGCATGGACTGTGGGAGATACTTGCTGTAACAAACTTAGCAGAACCTGGCACATAATACATGCTCAAAAAAAAATATTGCTCACTATCAAGAAGATTAAAATGAGATCAAGGACACGGCAGTGTTTTTTTTTTTTACAAGTGCTAGTGTACCATAACTGAATGCCAGCAAAACCAAAAGTAGGTTTGGACCTGGGCTCGGTGTGACTGCAGACATAGCTTTGCACATGCAAACTGAGCTCACCTGAACACCATACACTTTGAGGAGGTTGAGGGTACATGCTGGCATTTCCACGGCTAAGGTCCACCTCCAGATGCAAACTTCCTGTGAGTGACAGCAGATGGAGGAGAATGAGAAGGTTCCTGAAGGCTGTTGACAAAACCGACACCTCTTGTGGTAGCCATGTAACTTTGGCTCAGGAACATGGCACCATGAGCTAAACCACAGGAAGAGAACCCCCAATGAGGGGCCATGGGGTCCAGTCCTTCCCTGAGAGCAGAGCTGCTCACCAGGACCCACTTCACAGGCTGGCCAGCCCACTGAGGCTTCCTCCACGTGCCCCATACCTGGATTTCAGCATCGGAGATGGTTGCCAGATATTTGGCATCCCGGGTGATGGCTATGGCCCTGATGCCATTGCCTTCTGGGCAGCTGTCAAATATAGTGTGCACAGGAATACTGCAAAACAGGACCAGGGAACACCCATTTGTGGAGGTTTGCCTTGCTCCCCAGAGGGATTCGCTTCAAAAGGTATAGAGGAAACAAGTGTGGTCCATCCATACAACAGACTGCAGTGCAGCCATACAAAGGAAGGAAGCACGGACCCCTGCTGTATCAGGGGTGGACCCCGCAAAACATCACGTGAAGTAGAGAAGCCTGACACAAAGACCACACGTTGCTCGAGCTCATTGATACGAAGTGTCCAGAATTAGAAAATCCACAGGGATGGACTGGCATGTCAGTGGCTGTCAGGGGGAATGGGAGGGATTACTGATGGCTTTAGGTTTTCCTTTTGGGGTTTTGGAACTAGAGGCACCCAGCAGGCTCAGCTGCTGGAGCATGTGACTCCTGACCTCAGGTTTGTGGGTTCCAGCCCCACATTGGGCATAGAGATGACTTTAAAACAGCAGTTGGAACTAGATACAAGCGGCGATGGCACAACATTTTAAACATGCTCAATGCCACCGAATCGCAGGCTTCACAATGGCGAATTTTACCTTATGTGAATTTTACTTCATTTTAAAAAAAGTAATAAAACTAACTCAGCATTATGCAAGTGTGCTGTTTGTTCTCTTCATGAAGTCGACTGTCACCCACTATTGAGCGCTGATTCTGTGCCAGGCATGAAGGAAGGAAATAAGAAAAAAAAGATGCCTAGGACATTACCCCAGCTCTCAGAAAAACGAGCACCCTCGTGGGAATGAAAATAAGCACAGGCTTTCTAGACAGCAACTTAGCTGCACCTGTCAAAATTTTAAATGCACATACCCTAGGACTCAACAATTCCTCTTCTACAGCTTTTTTCCCAGAAAAATAATAACAAAATTAAACAGAGATAAATATAAAATCATGTCCATCATGGCACTGCTTTAATGGCAAGAAAATCTCGAAACACAAATATCCACAGATGTGGGAACTGTTAAAAAAACATTATGACATAACCATATAATGAAAAACTAGGCTACTTGCAAAAAGATTGAGGCAGGGGCACCTAGGTGGCTCAGTTGGTTAAAGGGCTGCCTCCAGCTCAGGCCCTGGGATCAAGTCCTGTATCAGGCTCCCTGCTCAATGGAGAGCATGCTTCTCCCTCTCCCTCTGCCTGTCGCTCTGCCTACTTATGCTCTCTCTCTCTGCAAAATAACTAAATAAAATCATAAAAAAAAGAATGAGGCCAATGTGGGAAGGTGACAAAAATTTTGTGAAAAAAGCAAATTGCCAAACAGTGTAGTTAGCTCCATCCTGCATGAGGAAGAGAGAGTGCACACATTTCTGTGCAAGGAAGAGTCTAGAGGAACAGATTCTAAACTAAACAAAGGTGACTCTGGAGATGTGTCTGGGTAAGGAAGGACTCACTTTTTCTTCCCTCATTCACTACAATACTGTGTCACCGGCAAGACTACAGAACCCTAAGAAGCAGGAAAAACCTTGTCACATAGTGAAATTAAACAGAATTAAGTGAGATATATAAATATAGAAATAAATGCAGAATTAAGTGAGATGTATAAATATATAAGCAAGCCAGAGAAACACAACAGAAGCAAGGCTGTCAGTGATGTGATTGAGCGGCAGCACGGGGGACAGGGGAGTGAAGGCTGGGTGGTAGGACGTCCTAATCCATGACCACGGGCTGGTGGTTCTGCATTGTTTTTCATTACAGAGCCCTTGTTACAGGAAATATCAGCAGGCCTCGTATGTCACTCCAGTGCCCCAACTGGCTGGGACCATGTCTGTGCCCCAACTGAGGACCTGGCTGGTTCTCTGTCACCGGAGAAGACTTCATCCCCCTGGGAAGTAGCCCCCAAAATCATTTGAGAGAAGGCAGTCCTAACATTGCTGTGAATGACACAGTGATGTCCTTAGTGGGGAAAAGCATCTTATCCCTGTGGCTTTCCAGAATTAAACAGAGAGCCAGTGATATCAGCTGGGCCTGTTCTGTAAAGATATCGGTGGGAAGAGAATCTCTTTATTTTGCTTAGGAATGGGTGATGTTTAAAAGAATTTAACATATCAGAGTCTCTGATGGAATAAATTTGTGACTCTAATTTAAAGCCCGTCATTGATTCAGACTTGTGATTTTACATTCAGATCACACTGGTTTATAAACAATATTAGAATACTTATGAGAACTTAAGATTTTGCCATAGTTATGCCTAATTTATTATATTTATAAGAATTCTCTAAGTATGGGGGAAGGGTTTATTTTTTAATCAGACTACTAAAGAACTTAGAGACAAAACCAAATATATTCAATTTCTAAGTGCAGTTTAAAAATGTTTAAAAGGAATTAATAATCAAATTTGTGAGTTGGGCCAAACATTAATCAAAACCCCCTTAAAGGCAATTATAAAATCTGCTAGATTTATAAAAGGAGTAAGATTTATAAGTTGAATAAAAAACTTAAGGGAAAACTATGGTTCTTAGTTTATAACTTTAATAAAGTGAATATTAATTCTAAAACCAAGTAACTTTTTCTGGGTCCCAAAGTCATCATTTACTATATCATAAAACTCATATTAACATTGAATTGTTAACCCCAGATGCATTTTGCTTTGCAATTAAAAAGAAAAAAAAATCACTGCCAGAGTCACCCCTAGTCTAGTTGGGGAGACAGCTTTATAAGAAGAGAAAAGGAAAGAGTGGCACCTGGGTGGCTCAGTCAGTTAAGCCTTCAGCTCGGGTCGTGATCTCAGCATCCTGGGATGGAGCCCCACATCAGACTCCCTGCTCGGCAGGGAGTCTGCTTCCCACCCCCTCTCCCTGCCTGCCTCTCTGCCTACTGTGCTCTCTACTTTGTCAAATAAATAAATAAAATCTTAGAAAAAATAAAAGAAAAGGAAAAAGCAAAGAATAAAGCCTTTTTAGGGGGCCAGCCATGCTTGGGGAAGGGGAGATATCGGCAACAGTTTCAGAGAAGAGACACATTTGAGGCGCCCACCCTTCCTGCCTGTGGACTCTGTCACGGGATAGAACAACTACCTCATGTGTAAGTCGGATATCCCACTACTTGCAGCTGGAAGCATGTGACAGCCACAGGAGATAGCCAGGCACATGGAAGGGGAATTCCACTTTCTGGGGATGAGTTCCTGTGACTAGGATGCAAGATGCGTTTTTCCCTCTATCTCAGGCTGGGTCGGCAAGAGGCAGCCTCTGAAGGGTGTTCAGCAGGGGAGTAACACAAACAGATTTTTGCCTTTGGGAAAAGATCACACTCCAAATGCTGTGGAAAACAACCACATGATGCTACATGCTAATGTCCATGTATCTGTATTTAAGACAACAGCAAATGTTCTGGAAGGAAACACCAAATTGACTACCTCCGAGAAGGGGACGAAGATTGGAGGTGGTGGCCAGAGGAGACGTTAACTTTCAATTAAAAGACCATTAAAAATCAACAGATGAGTAGATAAGCAGAACCAGTATATCCATGTGATAGAATCTTGAAAACAAAGGAAGCACTGACTCATGCCACAGCATGGGAGAACTCTGAAAACATTATGCTGAGAGAAAAACCAGACATAAAAAGCCACATATGATTCATGGACATAAAATGATGACAGGCAACCCTATAGAGACAGAAAGTTGATGAGGGGCAGAGAGGGAGGAGAATGGGGAGCTCACTGTCAGAGTTTCTGTTTGGGGTGATGAAAATGTTCCGGAAATAGTGCTGATGATTGCACAACATTGTGAATGTAATCAATGCCACCAAATTAGACATTTAAAAATCATATTTTGGGGGCGCTTGGGTGGCTTAGTGGGTTAAAGCCTCTGCCTCCAGCTCAGGTCATGATCCCAGGGTTCTTGGATTGAGCCCCACATCGGGCTCTCTGCTCAGTGGGGAGCTGCTTCCCTTCCTCTCTCTCTCTCTGCCTGCCTCTCTGCATACTTGTGATCTCTGTCTGTCAAATAAATAAATAAAATCTTTAAATTAAAAATAATCATAGTTTTACAATGGGGCACCTGGGTTTCTCAGTCAGTAAAGCAGCTGGCTCTTGGTTTGGGCACAGATCATGATTTCAGGGTCCTGGGATCAAGCCCCATGTTGGGCTCTGCACTCAGTGAGGAGTCTCCTTGAGGATTCTCCCTCCCTCTCACTCTGCCCATCCCCCACTCACACTCTCTTGCTCTTAAATAAATAATAAAGAAATCTTTTCTAAAAATTGTGAAGATGGTCAATTTCATGTTATGTGTATTCTAAATCATCATCCTGGAGGTAGGGTTGCAGAGTGAAGCTGTAGAGGAGGAGGCTGGCCAGGCAGGCATGGGTGGGCAGGGACAACAGAGGTGGGTTTAGAAGGCCTCTGGGAGGAGATGCAATAGGATTGGGGACATTTAACAGGAGATATCCATGGGACATCCAGGTGGAATGTTCTCCAGCAGCTTCCTCATCCATGAAAAGAGGAATTATGAGGTGGTTAGGGAGATGAAGATGGTGTGGTTACCACCCCAGGTCTTCTCCCTCCTGGCTGGAGAAAAGGACCAACCACATCCTCCTCACCATCTTGGGACAGAGGAAGCAGAGTCTCAGAAGGCAGATGAAAACCAAGGGGACGTGGTATGAGAGAAGCCAAGGAAATGACAAATGTCAAATGCCACTGATTAAATAACAGGGCCCTAGGAGGTCACAAGTCACCTGGGGAACCTGTATCCTAGAACATCCAACCTGACCTTCCAGAACACCTGAGAGCTTTAAACAAAACTTCTTCCCAATCATCCCCAACTGGACTCATCCACCCCTCACATCACCACCCCCCCCATGACTCAACCAGGGCCTTCCAATCTTATCAATTAATCTAGCACTGCACTCTGCCTCTAGGACCAGGAATGAAGAAAGGAAACACACATGAACATCTATTATGGGCCATGTACTCTGCACTACTGGTCTTCATGACAGTCCTGTAAGGTAAGTGTAGTGTGTTGAGGGCCTCCTCAGAAATCAGGTCCACCCAGAGCCTCAGGATGTGAACATTATATGGGAATAGGGTCCTTGCAGATGTGTTAGTTCAGAGGAGGGTGGATTAGGTTGGATCCTAAAACCAATGACTGCTGAACTCATAGAAGTGCAGACACAAAGAGACACACAGAGGACAATGCCATGTGAAGATAGAGGCAGAGATTAGAGTAATTAGTCTACCAGCCAAGGAACACCAAGGGCTGCCAGCCACCACCAGCAGCTGGGAGAGAGGCCTGGAGCAGGTTCTCCCTCAGAGCCCCAGAAGGAACCACCCCTTTGGGCATCCTAATTTCAGACTTCCAGCCTCGTGAACTGTGAGGGAATAACTTTCTGTTATTTTAAGCTCCTCGGCATGTGGTAATTTCTTTTTTTTAAAGATTTTATTTATTTGATGGACAGAGATCACACAAGTAGGCAGAGAGGCAGGCAGAGAGAGAGAGGAAAGCAGTCTCCCTGCTGAGCAGAGAGCCTGATGAGGGCTCGATCCCAGGACTCTGGGGTCATGAACTGAGCTGAAGGCAGAGGCTTAACATGCTCAGCCATTCAGGCACCCCAACATATGGTAATTTCTTAGAGCAGCCCAAGGAAACTAAACCAGTGGGTATTATCAGCCTCTTTTTTTTTTTTTTTTTTTTTTTTTTTTTTGTAGATGGGGAAAATCACTTCACTTCTCTGGGCCTCCAAGCTGGGTTAGTGTTAACCTCCCTCATCTACTCTGGGACATCGCCACACCAAGTTTCTCGGCCTAAAGAGCCAAGAATTGTAAATGGGGAAATTCACAAGGTAGGGTCACTCGAAAAGGCCTCAAGGCAACAGGATGGCCAGTCTCCCCAGGCTGCTTCACCCTCACCTGGCATCCCACCGCTGGCTTCTGCATGCCCAGACCGGCATTTCTCATTTGTTGCAGATACGCTACACTGAGTAGGGAAAAACATGCCTGTGCCAAGCCTACCCTGTGAAGGAGTCCCATATGATTATCAGGCAGTCGGGCCCTTCGTTGGCCACGGCAATCCACCGCCTGTCTTCACTGATGCAGAGGCAGGAGATCATGTTAGCAAGGCCCTGCAGAAATGCAGAGAAAATGCTCTGAAACATTCAGGATGGCCAGAGAGGCTAGAGCCCCACAGAGAGAACTAAGCTCCCCTTCCAGGTTCATCAGGCTGAAAATTCAACTCCCATGGCCTTCTCCTGGCATTTCTCTATAGCCAGTGGTTTTCTGATTTTCTCTCCCTCAAACCCGTAAAGGGTAAGCCACACTCCCCATAGGGACAGTGCTCCCTACAGATGTAGGCATGTTCCCAACTCTGAACCCAGATGGGGAATAAATGTTGGGGTTCTGCCCCACCTCCAGCCCCCTTGAAGCCCTGCTGGCCTCATCTCCCTTAAACAGTGTCCACTCAGGCCACTGAGCAGATCTGGAGCAAAAGCCTCTTCGCTGGTCTCTCTGCTTTCATTCCCATACTCCCACAATCCTTTCCCAATAACTCAGGAACCTTCTGGAAACAAACAAGATGCTAGTACTCCCTGTCAAGAAATAGCTCATTTCTTCCCTCCTTCCTCTCCCCTTGCTCACTCCATGTCAGTCATACTAGCCTTCTTTCTGGGCCCCATGGGCAGGCCTGCAAACCTGGAGCTCCCTGGGTCTGGACTGCTCCTCCCCAAACTGCCCCTGGTTGGTTCATTCTCCTCAGTCAGTCAGATCTCGGCACAAAGGGCATGTTTGCCAGCGCAACCAACTGAAGGGCCATCTCTCACTCCTGATCTCTCTCCTGCAGCAGCCCACATTTCCTTTGGAGTGCTTGTTGTAATTCGTAATTGTGTATTTATGAGACTATAAGCTCCATGTTTTGTTCATGACTACATGCCCAGAATCTGAAACAAAGAGTTTCTGATAAATGCCTATGGAATAAATGAATGAATGGGTGGATGGATGGATGGATAGATGGTCAAGGCCACTCCCAGCCACCTGACTCTGCAGGAGGCTGGACAGCTGCCTGGCATGGTCCCTATTTCTCAGCCTCTCTGCCTGTTGCTCCTTCCTCGCTCTGCAGACACAAACTACCTCCTCTCCCTCCCATCAGTACTATGCTCAGTGCTGCACATTCAACTAAGCTCCAAGAAAGGCTGCTTGCTGGGCTTGTGTTTGTTTCTGGACATCTAGAGAGCAAATTCTGCACCTACATGGCATGGATCCCTGAGTACGGACTAGGCTTTTGGGAAATCCTCTGTGATGTTTTTGACCTAGGCATTGACTTAAGGAAGGTCCTTATTAAAATATATGTCTGGGGGTTCCTGGGCGGCTCATTCAGTTAAGCAACTGCCTTCAGCTAAGGCTTTGATTTCAGGGTTCTGGGATCGAGCCCCACATCAGGCTCCCTGCTCAGCAGGGGAGTCTGTGTCTCCCTCATGCTCTCTCTCATTTGCTCTCTCAAATAAAAAAAAAATAAAATCTTAAAAAGCAACAACGAAAACTTGCATACCTGAAGATGGTGCTTATTCTTGAAGACATTGTAGATGACCACAGTGTGAGCACAGACATACAGAAGAACTCGCTGGTTTTCATCTTGAATGTAGTAAACAGGAAGAAAACTGTTCCATTTGAAAGACCAAGTCATTGTCTGGAAGACAAAGGCAAGACCAGCAAGACACTGAGTGCGCCGAGCCCAGAACAGTGATGCCAGGCACCCCTGGCACAGTCTCTGGAGGGGAAGGATTTCACATCATCAGTCCAAAGTGAGGGAAATCACTTCAAGAACATCCTCAACGGCATGCCAGGGCACGGAGGACCCTCGAATCCATGACACTGAGTTAAAGGGGTGACACACTGTGCAGGGTCAGTCCGATCCATAGATATGGAAAGGACCCCAGTGGCTTCTGGGGGCCTGGGGAAGGTGGTCGGGAAGTGATGGCTAGGGGGTATGGATATCTTTTGTGGGGATGAAAATGTTCTGGAATTAGACAATGGTGACAGCTGCACAACCTTGTGAACATGCTAAAAAGCAATGGATGATACACTTTCAAAGGGTCAATTTTATGAGGATGTGGAGAAATTGGAACCACTGGGCACTCGTGGTGGGAATGTGAAATCGTGCAGCTGCTGTGGAAAACCCCAGGGAGGGCTCTCCAAACACTGAAAGCAGAATTAGTGTATCATGCAGCAATGACACTTCTGGACACCTAGCTCAAAGAACTGGAAGCAGGGTCTCAAAGTGACATTCACACGCCCATGTTTAGAGCAGCATACTTCACAGAAACCAGAAGGTAAAAGGAAGCCAAGTGTCCCATGACGGATGAAGGGATGAATAACATGTGAGTGTTGTTCAGGCTTCCACAGGAAGGAGATCCAACACTCTACGACATGGATGGGCCTTGGGGACATCACGTAAGTGAAATCCACCGGTCACAGAAAGACAAATACGGTAGGATTCCACAGACATGGTTCAAAGAGGACTCAGATCCATAGACACAGAAAGTAGAATGGTGGTTGCCAGGGGCAGGGCTGGGGAATGGGGAGTTGTTCAATGGGTAGAGAGTTTCCGTTTCATGAGATGAGTTCCAGGCTTTGGTTGCACCACAGTGTGAATGTACCTACTACAATGCTGTACACTTCCAAATGGTGAAGATGGTAAATTTTAGGGTTGCCTGGGTGGCACAGTTGGATCAGCAACTGACTCTTGGCTTTGGCTCAGGTCGTGATCTCAGGGTTGTGGCATCCAGCCCAACATTGGGCTCCAGGAATAGTCTGTTTAAGACTCTCCTCTGCCCTGCCCCACCCCCCTCTCTCTTTCAAATAAATAAATAAATATTTAAAAGAAAGATGAGGGGCACCTGGGTGGCTCATTCATTGGGTGTCTGCCTTTGGCTCAGGTCATGATGCTAGCATCCTGGGATCGAGCCCCTGCCAGGCTCCCTACTCCTCAGGAAGCCTGCTTCTCCCTCTCCCACTCCCCTTGCTTGTGTTCCCTCTCTTGCTGTGTCTCTCTGTCAAATAAATAAATAAAGTCTTTTTTTTAAAGATGGTAAATTTTACTTTATGTGTATTTTACAATTTTGAATTTTAAGAAGGTAAATTTAATGGTATGTGAATTATACCTTGCTTAAAAAAGAAAAGAAAGTCAACAGCAAACAGAAAGAACATCCTATCCTCCTAATCCCCAGAATCTAGACTGTTCAGTTCCTGACACATAGTGAGCATGTAATATTGTGAAATTCATTTTACTTCATGAAAATATATGGAAGGGGGAAGTTACAGTATAGTCACTAAGGAGCTTCATAAGAAAGGCAATTATTCATCTGGGAATATTTGTATTTGGTCCTCATATACCATTTCCCCTGGAAGAATAAAGCACAAAGAGACAAAATTCCCTAAGCATGATTAAAAATTCCATATTCAGGGTGCCTGGGTGGCTCAGTGGGTTAAAGCCTCTGCGTTCGGCTCAGGTCATGATCCCAGGCTCCTGGGATGGAGCCCTGCATTGGGCTCTTGAACCTCTTATATAGCACCTATTAGTCCTTTCATTTTCTGGTGCTTTTAATCTCCCTACTAGATAATTCGTTGTCAGTAGGAAATACGTCTTCTTCATCTTTGTATTCCTCAGAAAAGAGCTTCTCAAAGACTGTGCAAAGACACAGTGGCCTCCAATGAATGAGTTAAAGATGTTCCAGGCCATAATCAACCCTCCAAAGAGTCACAAAGGGCCTTCAGCAGCCAGAGTAGAGTCCCCATGAGTCAAGTCGCAAGCATTCTCCAGTCTAACCCTCTCCCAACTGAGCTATCTTGGCCAGCCCTCAAACATTCTCAAGTAGCTTCCTCCTTCAACCAGGTACACACTGCAACGATAACTTGGACTCACTCACAGGACGCAATACAGCACACTGTACACAGTAGATGCCCAATAAATATTTGCTGAACTGAATGTGAGAATAACCCATCTGTTCCTTTCAACCACTATCTCCAAGAACACTTACCATCTAGACCTCTTTGAACGTTTCCACTGAATGTGTTCTGGTTATCTTTTTAATAATCACTGGTTTATTAGCTGGCTACACTTGCCTTACCATCCAAAGCTCACATCAACACCGTAGTGCATAAAATAACAGAGGATATGCACAAACAATGCACCACAAAGAGGCTCAAAGTAAAATTCAACATTACAGAACAAAGAAATGCAATGCCACTTTACACTACTAAATGAGTGCTCAGCAGGGAGCCTGCTTCCCTTCCTCCCTCTCTGCCTGCCTCTCTACTTGTGATCTCCATCTGTCAAATAAATAAATAAAATCTTTTAAAAAATCCATATTCCCAGGAATAAATCCAAGATAAACATTTTCTGAAATGAAAAATTAAAGGTATTATAAATGACTGCTACTTTTAATTCAATAGTAGTTTACTTATGTATATTTTTTGTGTGCAAAATCTTTTATAAAAATCACAGATGTGATTAAAACAGTTTATAAAACTGTGGATTCATACAAAGAGTATTATTCAGAAATAAAATGAAATGAACTAACAAGCCAGGAAAAGACATGGAGAAATCTTAAATGCATTTTACTAAGTGAAAGGAGCCAACCTAAGGAGACTTCACAGTGGGGACACCTGGGTGGCTCAGTTGGTTAAGTGTCTCCCTTCGGCTCAGGTCATGATCTCAGAGTCCTAGGATCGAGACTTTCATTCGGCCTCCGGCTCAGCCAGGAGTCTGTTTCTCTCTCTCTCTCTCTCTCTCTGCCCCTCCCCAGACACATGTTTTCTCTTGCTCTCTCTCTCTGACAAATAAATAAATAAAATATTAAAAAAAAAAGGGGGTCTTCACATTGTATGATTCCAACTACATGCTATTCTGGAAATGCAAAACTATGAAGACAGGGGGAAAAAAAATGGTGGCCGGGGAGCAAGGTTGTGAAGTCAGGGATGGAGAGTGAGGCACGAGGGATTTGAAGGCAATGACATAAGTCTGTAGGACACTACAATGGTGGATATACCTCATCATACCTTAGTCAAAGCCCAGAGAATGTCACACCACCAATTGTGAACCCTAAAGTAAAATATGGACATTAGTTAATAATAACAGTCAACATGGGCTCATCACCTCGAACAAATGTCCCCCACTAATGAAGATATTAACAAAAGGGGAACCTGGTGGGGGGCACAAGGGAGTATATGGGAACTCTGCACTTTTCATTTTGTTTGCGCTCAGTCTAAACTGCTCCAAAAAATAGTCCTTTTAGGGGCCTGTGGCTGGCTCAGTTGGTAAAGCCTATGCCTCTTGATCTCGGAGTGTTCCAGCCCCATGCTGGGTGTAGAGATTACTTTAAATAAAAACATTCCATTTAAAAAATTAACCAAGACCAATTAATCAATGTGGTAGCATCTAAAGTGATGGCTAAGTGATTAGAGACTTTTAGCAACTGACTCACTCAGTATTAACAGGATCTCCTTGCTCCAGCAGAGCTCACACTCATTGAAAGCATGCGCTATCAGCTCATGCTGGGCACTAGTGTTACCATTTGTGGTGAATGGTCATGGAGCAAGCCAGCTCTTACAGCAACCTTCTAAACGTGAACACAAAATGCTATGGTCCAAAGCAGATTTCACTGCACTTGACAATCATCAAAGATTCCTTCTCATAAATGCATGACACCTTATTTTCTTGGTGGAAGTTGGTATCCAGGGTTATGCCTACTTACCAGAAGCACTCTGAATTATTCCAGGCCTCTGGGGTGAGGCAGGGGACCCCAAAGGAAAAAGGGGATGCTGCAGGCAGAGAGAGAGGCAGGAACACGCTTGGTGAAGCCCCTTTGGTGAGAACAAATCAAAAGTAACAAAAATGGCCTTCCATAACAGGGCACCGGTTGAATTTAAAATGAGGAAGTGGTTCTACATGCCCAGATACAGCAAACCCTCTGAGACATACTAAGTGGTCATGCAGAATATCTTACTGGTAAAGAAAACAAAACCTAGCGTGTGTGGTGTGTGTGTGCACACACACAGATGTGTCCGTAGATGCCCAGGAAAAGGTCTGGAAAGGTATACAGTTATACCAAACTGGAATGGTAGTCACTTCCAGGAAATGGATTTGGCATGGTCTGTGGGAGAGGAAGAATCTACCTGTATTTTAATTTTGTTTTTAATTTTAACTTATTTATTTTTAGAGGGGGGAGGGCCAGAGGGAGAGAGGCAGAGAGAATTCCAAGCAGGCTCCATGCCCAGTGCGGAGCCCCATGCGGGGATTGAGCTCACAACTCTGAGATCACAATCACAACCCCAGCCGAAATCAAGACTCAGACACTTAACCAACTGAGCCACCCTGGTGACTCCGCTTTGAATTTTTTTTTTAAGAGCACCTATTAATTTTAACAGGAAGAAAAAAGGCAGGGGGGGGCACCTGGGTGGCTAAGTGAGTTAAGCCTCTGTCTTTGGCTCACATCATGATGCCAGGGTCCTAGGATCAAGCCCCACATCGGGCTCTCTGATCAGCAGGGAGCCTGCTTCCCCCTCTCTCCCTGCCAGCCACTTTGCTTACTTGTGATCTCTCTCTCTCTATCAAATAAATAAAATTTAAAAAGAGAGAGAGAGAGAACCAATACAGGAACGGGAACAGAAAGGAACAGAAAGAAGGTGTTCTCAAGGAGCTAAACAAATTTGCGGAGGGAGGTGGTCTAGAGGAGTTGAGTTCTGCAGTGAGCCCACATCTAACAGAGGACCCAAACCCCTGGCATGCAGGACACTTGCTCTCATTAACGATATCCCCGGATGTCATGCTAGCTGGCTAAACAAGCCAAAAGTCTTCACGGGCTCTAAAACTTGTTCTATCTTTCAGACTGGACAAGCCCATGTTGTGACCTTGATCTCCACTGCTCAAAATAAACCCAGTCTACAGAAACGAGGCTGTCATTTGTCTGCATCTCCCACTAGGTGTTTGCCATCATCCCCATCATCACTACCATCCTTGCCACCACCACCACTATCCCACTATCATCATCTAGATGTGAACACCCGTCCAGTGCTCACTATGTGTCAGGAACTACATTAAACACTTGATGTGCATCCGATCACTTACAAATCTTCCAAAGGCAGAATCTATAGGGAAAACTGGAGGTGAATCCTAGGAAGCAATTTTCAGTGGCACATGGAGGAGGAAGGGAAAAACTCTCCTCCTCTTCCTTCTCTTGGTAAATGGTAATATTTGTGTGGCAAAGGCAGATGCCAGTCGACCCCCTGGTGCCTTTCTCAGTGCCTTTCACTTTTCCATACCTTTTGCTTTCTGGTCCATCTCCAAACACACAGTTTTAGGAGCCCATAATGGTTTTAGGAGCTTGTGAAGAGGTATCAAGCCATCTAAGGCAGAAGAGGTGAGGAGAGGAGGGAAAGGGGAAAGGAATGGAGGAGCAGGAGGAGGAAATGAGAAAGAAGGGGAATGGGGAGGAGAGGGAGAGATTGTCCTTGAGTCTCCCACAAGAAAGGGCACCCTATGTAACAGACAAACCACGTCCAGAATTTCCTGCCTGGGGAGCAACACTGTTGGACCCAGATGTCAGGCCCAGAGGCAGCACTCCTGTCACACATGTCTCGCCAGAGCGCTGAACTGAACTTTAAAGCATACGAGTCTGTTATTAGTTCAAAAGGATATTTCTGGTGGTATTTTCCTTCCATATGCATAAAATCCCTTATTTCACAATGCTTTTAAAGCACTAGAGGAAAAAAAAACCATGTTACACTTCCTTACCAAAGGATACACGTTGGCGCGGTCATCCTTTCGAATCAACATGTCCTCACTAGTAGACACCAGTGATTTCTCGGGGATCTCTGCTTTGGACTGGAATTCTTCCTCTCTCACTCACTTAAGTCTGATCATCTTTTTTCCTCTCTCCTTTCCCGGCCCAGTTCACCCTGGGGCATCTGGTCGATTTTCTCCCCAAGCTCGCTTGAGGGCTGTGTTTCAGGGAAAATAATCTCTGGTTCCTTGGAACCCATTTGATCCAAATCAAGAAATTTTCCTTTTGAGCTCAAGTCTAATAAAGGCTCATTTGTTTCCAAATGTTCTGATTCTAAGGCATCCTTTGACTCAGTAATGGTTCTCTTAAAAAAAAAATAAAAGATTCTGATTCCAAATACAGTGTATAGCTGCTTCATTCCCTCCTTTACTTTTCTTTCTGTTTCTACTCACCCAGCCTTAGTGTTCGCCTCACACTGGAACTATGATCTGTTTCAAAAAGGAGCCTGGGGGGCGCCTGGGGGCCTCAGTTGGTTAAGTGTTTGCCTTTGGCTCAGGTCATGATCCTGGGGTCTAGGATCGAGGCCCACATTGGGTTGCCTCCTCAGTGGGGCATCTGCTTCTCCCTCTCCCGCTCTCCCCTTGCTTGTGCTCTCTCTCACTCTGTCTGTGAAATAAATAAGTAAAATCTTAAAAAATAATAATTATTTAAAAAAATAAAAAGGAACCTGGGACATTTTGTACTTAAATAACATGAATCATGCATGTGCCAGGTTTATTCTTGGCCTATGAGCAGAACCACACAGCAAAACCATTCTTCTAAGTGGCCCTGGTCATCTCCAAGGATGGGCGAGTCACAGTCACTTCTCCTTGAACCACAGCTGAGTTCTCCTTCAGGGGGAGAGCCTACATTACTATGATCACGCTGACTCTGTTCTAAGACAAGTGCATTCTAACTAACCCCTAGGAACTCTTTCTGTCAGCTCCCCTGTACACCTCCTCCAGGAGGCCTTCCCTGACCATCCTCCTAGCTGGGCTAAGTGTCCTTGATTTTTGTTTTTTAAATATCTCCCATGCATCACTCAATCACTGCACTTAGGATACTGTTTTATAGTGTTCAGGTATCAGTCTGCCTCCCTACACACCAAGAGAATGGACTGTATCTTATTTGTATTTTCCCCATATCCTGGCAAATGATAAGCATTCCATGATTCTGAATGAATGAATGAATGAATGAATGAATGAATAGATGAATGACTTAAAATTACTACTTACTAGGGAAGTTCCTGATATGACTGACTGGTAATCAGACAGTGTAAGTGTCTCCAAACTGGTCATGGATTTGGTGATTTCTTGAGGCTTCGCTGTGGTTTCTTCCTGAATGGCAGCCTCCTCCCCCTGTGCTTCTCCAGCCTTTTCCTCTGTTTCTTCTCTGACAGCCCCCTTCTCTTGGCCATATTCTTCCCCCTCTTCCTCCTCCTCCTCTTCTTCTTCCTCTTTCCTTTCCTCCCCTTCTTCCTCCTCCACTTTCTCTTCCCCTCTTTCCTCTTTCTCCCATTCCTCCTCTTCCTCCCCCTCTTCTCCTTTCTTCTCTACTCCTCCCCCCCTCCTCTCCTGACTTCTCTTCCTCCACTCCTTCCTACTCCTCTGCCTCCTCCACCTCCTCCCCTTTCTCCTCTACTCCTCCCTTCCTCCCGTTTCTGCTCTACTCTTCCCTCCTCCTCTTCCTCCTCTACTCCTCTTCCTCCTTCCTGTTCCTCCTCCTCTCCTTCTTCCTCTTCCCCTCTCTCCCCTCCTCCCCTTCTTCTTCCTCTGCCTCTTCCCCTTCTTCCTCCTCCCTCTCCTCCTTTTCTTCATCTGACACCTCCTTTTCCCCTTAGTCCCTCTCCTCCCTTTCTCCGTCCCCTACCTCCTTTTCCCCTTCCTCCCCCTCCTCCCTTTTCTCCTCCACTCCTTCCTCCTCTTCTCCTTCCTCTTCCTTCTCCTCCTGCTCCCCCTCCTGCTGAGGCTTTCTCTGTACTAACATGTCATCTTCTTTTAATTCCTGTTGCATACTTTCCACCTCTCTATCATATTGATTATACTCTTCTTCCACTTCTGTTTCTTCATCTTTTTCTGTTTCTTCTAGTGGGTACTCCCCCGCACTTGACATTCTTCTTTGTGGAGTTTCCTTTAGAGAAATATTGACCATAACCATCAGCAGTTCACTCTGTTTCCTATTTTAATTTCCTAGTGCATGAGCCTATCAATGAACTGTGCAATACCTGCTCTGGTTCCTTTCCACAGGAATAAAAAGAATTTCATACTTCTGGGAAAGCCTGTACCAGATTGGAAGCATATTGATGCCAGGGCCTCTCATCTTTCCAGGAATAATTTGAGAGCCCTGTAACTCACTTTGTATATATCCATAGTCCCACAGGCAAGCAAAATGATAACCCAGGCATTAACAACAATTCTCATAATGTAAATAAGGACGGAAGCAGCGGCTTAGTTGTTAAAAGCGTGGGCTTTGCAGTCGGCCTCTCCTAGCACCCAATCCTGGTTCCACCACTCACTTGCTCTGAGACTTTGGGCAAGTCACTGTACCAGCAGAGTGCATATTTGCTCACAGGCAGGATAAAAGTGAGAACCCTAAATTCTGGGGTTGAGATGACCTATGTAAAATGTTCAATGCAGCTGCCACAGAGGGCTTGAGAAAGGCGGCAATTGTTTACAAAGTTTAACAGCCTTCTAACATAGTCTCTCATTCATTTTTTCCAACAAACTGGAGTTTGAGGCTCTGGGAGTTGAAATGACTTAATGGACTCACACCGCTGTAAAAAGGCAGACCTCTCTAACGCTCGGTTCCTCCAGGTGGAAAAAGCATTGCTAACATTTTAGCCCGGGGCCTTGAGTACGGGCCCTGCTCCGACTACAAACTTTCCCAGCGCATTTTGATCCGGGGGCCCAGGGGAGGGGAAGAAAGTGTGGGGGTCTGTGGGGGAGGGGGGGGACACAACTTCGAGGTGCTGCTCCTTCCGCCAGCTTAGGTCTCTCTGAGGCCTCCCGGGGCCCCTTCCCCTGTGGGGCAAGCGCCCCCAACCCCCAAGGGACACCAGTTCCTCCCACACCAGGACCCCCGCCCCCAGCTCACAGAGTGTGCTCTCCGAAGGCATCAAAGGCCCTGCCCTCCCACGGCCTGGACTCCTCTGGCGGCCACTGCTTTCTCCTCTGCGTGCTCCCAACCTATGGTTGTCACCCAAGCTCCGCCCCAAGTTAACCGCCGGAGGGCGAGCTGCCATAAGGCGAGAGGGCCGGCTGGTGGTCACAAGTCCAAGGCTCTGCCGCACGGGGAGGGTGGGGGGAGGGTGTCTCCGCACGCCCCCTGGCGGTCTGCGGGGGAGAGGCGCCGCTGCGGCCCTCCTAGTAAAATTAGCCTTCCTTGTCCCAACCACTGTCTTCAGCTCCCTCCGCCCAACTTTTTCCCAAGGCGCCAAGGACTGAGAAGCATTGGTGGCACCTGCAGTTCTGACTTTCTGAAGATTAGGTATGAGCTGTTTGGTAAAATCCTCCTTGTCAAAAGCAAAATAAATTTCCCGGTCTCCTGGCTCCTCCGCGAAGTTGACCCCCTCACTGGGGGTGCCGCCCCAAAGGCGGTGGCCGCGCCCCACCCCAGGTCCTGCCCTCATGGCCAAAGGAGGCAGCGCCTTTGCCCTCCTGCTCCTGCTGCAGGCCCCGGAAGTGTGGCAGCGGGAACTCCAGTAGGTGCACAAACTGGTTCCTAGCCACCTCCACCGTGAAGCCCTGCTACAGCTCCGTCAGTCCCTCGGAATCTCCATGCACATCCTGCCTGCCCCGTGGCGGGCGCCTGAGCGCCACCCTTGCCTCCTCTCTGGACCCGCCTGCGGCCCCCAAGCGACCGGGCTCCCGCGGCGCTGGAGGCACTACTTGCTGCTAGAGCGGCGCTCTGGGCCCAGGCAGCCCGGCTGGCAGGCGCCATGGCTCCAGGTTCTTGGAGGGTCCCTGCCCCGGTGGCTGCTGAGGGAGCGCGGCCCCGGGAGGGCGGGCAGCATCTCAGGCTCCCGCGCGCGGGGGGGGGGGGGGGGGGCGGTGCTGCTTCTCTCCCCACCCCTCCCACTCTCAACCATTGTTCATTTTTGTTAAGGATTTTTTTGTTTTAGGGAAAGAGCACACGTGAGTGGGGGAGGCGGGAAGGGCTGGGCAAAGAGAGAGTCCTAGTGGACTCTACACTGAGCACAGAGCTTGCCTCAGGGCTCAATCGGAAGACCCTGAGATCACAACCTGAGTCAGAACCAAGAGTTGGGCCCTTTGCTGATGGTGCCGCCTAGGTGCCTGTAAGCCGTTTTTAAAAAATTTCTGGAGAGGGGCGCCTGCGTGGCTCAGTTGGTTGAGCGACTGCCTTCGGCTCAGGTCATGATCCCCTACTTCCAGGATCTGGTCCCAGATCGGCTCCCAGCTCCTTGGGGAGTCCGCTTCTCCCTCTGAACCTCTCCTCTCTCATGCTCTCTCTCACTCATTGTCTCTCAAATAAATAAATAAAATCTTTAAAAAAAATTTCTTGAGACTTGTTTTATGGTCTTGAATGTGGTTGATCTCAATGAGTATTTCCTGCGTCCTTGGGTATTCTGCTTTTGTTGGGCATTGTGTTCCAGTGCCAAACAGGTCAAGTAGGTTGAATGGATTTTTAGGTCTATTTACTTCCCATTTTTGTATCTGCTTGTTCTATTAATTATTGACAGATGAATGTTGAATTCTCCCCGTTGAATTGTGGATTAGTCAATTTCTTTTTTTTTTTTTTTCAGGATGTTTTTGCTTCATGTATTTTGAAGCTTTCTATTTGGATGCAGACACCTTTATGATGGCCATGTCTTTCTAAATGGGTCCTTTGTTGTTCGGAATTGTCTTCTTTCTCTGTTCATTATATTTGTTGTCTTTCCATTGTCTATTGCCTAGACCTATTAAATTCAGACTTTTAGGATTAGTATGTGTACGGTATAGCCCTTTTCATAATTCTTCTTCTCACAAAATCTATATTATCCTCTGCATCCTTCTATTTAAAGTTTATTCTTCACTGACATATTTAGGTCTTTTATTTAAATAGAATATTAATAGCTAATTCTTCAGGTAATTGTTGAAATGTTTAAGTTGAAGTCTACTACCTTCCTAGTCATATTTTCCTTTTCCCATCTGTTCCTTCTTCCCTTTTGAACTGCCTTCCTTTAGATGAACTGAGTCCTTTGTAGGATGCTATCTTCCTTCTATTATTTGCTGTCACACGGGCAGTGAGATATGAGTAAGTCATTCTGACCCTTTCTAAAATTGTTCTTCAACTTGTTTAGGGAATCTGTAGAGTAACCTTTATTTTAGGGATCATTTAGTCCCTCTACTAACTCATGATCCTTACTGGGTCTCTACTGAATATTCTGACTTATCCAAAAGAACTCTTCACTCTGGCTGGTTGGAACTCCAATGACCTCTAGCCTTGTCTGAGTCCTGGGAACCATCTGGTTCAATTCCATTTACTCTTTATTGGAACCTGAGGCATTTTCTCATACACACACTGCTTTCCATTGAGCAAGGACTCAAGAGGACTCCAGTGTGTACTTCCAAGAGCTGGTTTTCTACTTGACTTCCTTCTTTCTGGAACCCATGACCTTTTCATCACTCCAGCCTTCCTGAATTCCAGTCTCTCTTTCCTCACACCAGAGAGACTCCCATCTTTTCCTTGGAATCTCCTCCATACCCCCACCATCCAGAACTCCTCCAGGTAAAAAGTTGTGTGAATCCTGTGGCTCAGTTTGTTTGCTTGTTTTCCTTTTCACAGGGTTCACAAATGTGTGTTCCTTTTCAATGTTTTAAACATTTAGATATATATATATATTTTTCCCCCAATTCCTCATGTGCTTATGGTTGGTTTCTTTTCCTCTAACAAGCTTTCTAGGGCTGCTATAACAAGATACCACAAACCTAGTGGCTTAAACAACAGAAATAGACAGTCTCACAGTTCTAGAAGCTACAATGTTGGTAGGCCATGCTCCTTTTGAAGGTATTAAGGAAGGATCTGTTCAAGGCCTCTCTCCCAGCTTGAAGTCTTGCCCTGGCTTTGGGCTTCTTCACATGGCATTCTCCCTCAGGGCATATCTGTGTATCCTAAGTTTCCCTTAAAATTAGGACACAAGTCCTATTGAATCAGGGGCCCAACCTACTCAAATATGACCTTATCCTAGCTAGTTACATCTACAGGGACCCTATTTCCAAATAAGGTCATGCTCCCAGGTGCTGGGGTTTAGGACTGGGGAATATATATATATATATATATATATATATATATAATAAATTTAAAAATGTTTTAAGAGCAAAATATATATAGATATATAAATTTTTTTTGCTCTTAAAACATTTTTGTTTAGAATCTCATTCTTCCTTCCTTTCATTACAAGGTTATCCGCATGCTTTTGGTGCCTACTGAACAATTCTACCACCTCTACCTCATTAATCTCCAGGAAAGTTATTGTTACCTAAAGCCAGTTGCCATCTTTTTAAAAACAGTTCGCATCTTTTTGGAGTTTACAGTTTATTTGGTATTGAATATCTGTTTATGTGCTGATGAAGGTGACTGTCATCCTACTTCTTCCTTCTGAATTTGTTTCTTTTTGTGAAAGTAAATTCTCTAGTGTTTTAAAAGAAGGACTTATAAAAGCTAAATTATTCTTTGTAAGTCTACATTCTTTTTTCTCATTTTGTGTGTATTTTAAGTGATCAGAGATTTGGAGGCTGACAGCATTTATCAACATTTTAAAGATATAAAGGAAAAATATATTTTTAAAAAGGGACATAAAAAGTGATGAAGCAAAAAAAATTGCAAGACAATGGACAAAAATTTAGGGGCTCAGTAATTTCATGAAATGTAAATGGGTTCTATACTCTATTTAAAAGATTAAATTTGTTAGATTGCATCAATACACACATACACACATAATGATGTGCTGCTTCTAAGAGAAACATAAGCTCACCAAGGCAGAAATAAAATTTTGTAATATTGAACACCTAAAATTGAACAAGTAATCTACAAACCTAGAAGTGGACATCCTAGCCAGTATAATAAGTTATGGAGGAAACATTAAAGGTATAACAACTGGAAAAAATGAGTGAAATTTGTATAGAAAGATATTCTAAAAGAATGTACAAAGTATTAGAATCAGGAAGTGAATTAATCAAGGTCATAGGATATAAGTTAAAAATTAAGAAAAAATTCATTAGAATTCTGTGAAATATGAACAAAGGTTGAAAATCATATTTATGAGAGCACCAAAACTAGGATTTAATCTCTCCAAAGACTTTATACAGTCTCTACACAGAAAGTCTCCACACAGAAAACCATAAAATATTACTAAGGGGAATTTATGATCTAAATAAATGGGATGTCAAATATGTTAATATGTTACATATATTAATAGAACAGTTTCATAGCTTTGATCATCAGTGTGGTAAAGTTTCAATTTACCCCAACTTGATTTAGAGATTCAATGCAATCCCAGTTTAATATTTAGCAAGTGCCTGTGTACATTGAGAAGCCAATTCTTATATTTTCATGGACATGAAAAGGACTAGTAATTACCCAGGAAATTTGAAGAATAAAGTGAGGGCAAGAGTGAGGGAGAAAGAGAGTGAGAGGAGAATCTGATGGAATTGGATTTATTACAAAAAGACTATTGAAATGACCAGAGAAAACAGACAAAAAAAAAAAAAAAGGGGGCAGACTTTGACAAAGCAGTGCTAAACTAGTTGAATATCCACATGGAACAAAATAGCCTAAAATTCAATTCCAGACTGACGTATACTAAATACAAAAAATGACATCACAAATTTTCTAGAAGGTAAAATATGAAAATATTTCTCTGATCTGGGGGAGTTGGCAAAGATTAGTTGACCAAGACACCAAAAACATGAAGCATAAGAAAGGTTGGCAAGTTGTACTCTACTCATTAAAAGGTAAAAAAAAAAAATTCTTGCCCACCAAATGACAACACTAAAACTATGAAAGGCTATATTGATATACCAACTAAGTAATTGTATACAAAAATAGATAGGATAACTATGAATCTATAAAAAAAGGTAGGTAACTTAAAAACAATGAAAATACTTGAACAGAAATATCCCGAGGAGAAAAAAATCAGCCAATAAATACATGAAAAGATTCATGACTTCCTCAGTGATCACTAAAGAGCAAATGAAAGCACAATGTATTAGTGTTAACACACATAAGGCAGACCCAAAAAAGTGTTGATTAATAAAACTTATTTAATAGATAATGTAGTGGGGCACCTGGGCGGCTCCCTTGTTAAGCATCTGCTTTCTGCTGGGGTCCTGATCCCAGGGTCCTGGGATCAAGCCCTGCATGGGGCTCCCTGCTCAGCAGGAAGCCTGCTTCTCCCTCTCCCACTCCACCTGCTTGTGGTCCTTCTCTGCTTGAGCTCCCTCTCTCACTTTTTCTCTCTTTCTGTCAAATAAATAAATTATTTAAAATAAATAAGTAAAAATAAAATGGAGACACATGGGGTACTAATGAACAACAAGAATATTTGTGGGTCTTTTTTAAGATTTTATTTATTTATGTGACAGAGATCAGAAGTAGGCAAGAGGCAGGCAGACAGGGTGGGGAAACAGG